TTCTACTTAATGTACGGCAGGGAAGTCGACCCCCCCGTGGAGGTGCAATTGCGGGTCCAGTCTGCGGCTTCTCGCTCGAAACTGTCCGAACATGCTCAGTTCAATATTCGGAAGTTGGTCGAGGCGAGGGTGGCCGCGCAGGAAAATTCCAGGGCAAGGCAACGGGCCAATGAGCGTCTGTATGATCGCCGGGTTACGGTGTATAAATGGGCGGTAGGGGATAAGGCGTGGCTGCACTGCCCGCAGGTGCCGCTGTCGACGTCATCGAAATTGCTGCGGCCCTGGCGGGGGCCGGTCGACATTGTTCGGGTCGTTCGGGACCAGTGTGTTAGGGTCGCGTGCGGACGGCGTTCTTGGTACGTGCACCCCTCGCGCCTGAAGCCCTATGTCGCACCACGCACTCACACACCTTCATCTCGCAGGGGCCGGCCGCGTGACGTGTCCGGCAGGTTGGGGGAGGGGCCTCGTGACCCCCTTGTTGTTCCAAAACCCCCTGCCACTCTTTCGGATGCTGCAGGTGTGAGTCCACCTAGGGTGGTCTCGCCAGAGGAGCGGGAAGCGAGCCGGCCGCCTGTCCAGCAGGAAGACGGCTCGCGGGCTGTGTCCCCGGGGCCTCGAAACGTGCCGGACGCCCGTCATCTGGCCCCTCCTGACCCTCCGCAAGGAACGCTGGCTTCTGGCGATGGACCCGCCACACGGACTCGTTCGAAGGGTCTCAGGTTCTCCTGAGACCTGTCGCAGACACACTGCCTCCTCACGGGGCCTGGGTGTTCGAGTCACCTTGTTCGTTGGTGTGGTGTGTCCGCGGTGTTCTTGTGTACAGGGGGGTTGGGGTAAATTATCGGGGATAGTTGTGTTGTTGTTGTTCTGTTGTTGTTATTGTTGTGTTGAGGCTCACGCATTGTTATTGTCGTGTTCAGAATTCCTGGTTCGCGAGTTAGGGTTGGGATGTGGATAGTGATGCAGCCGGGACGGCTGCGTGCTGTATAGGGGGGGGTGATGTGGTGGTCAAGGTTGACACCAAGGTTGACACAGGTCACACAGGTCACACAAGCTAGGGGAGAGGTACATACCGGTCTGGACCGGCCCGGATTGACAGGGACGAGAGGTGGTTGGAACGGCTCTGAGGGGAGGGGGCTGGCGAGAGCCAGGGCCCGAGACACCCCCGCCCCTCAGAGAGAGGGGATATATAAGACGGCTCCCGGAGAGCGGAGGGGTCGATCGGAGGAGAAGCTGAAGGAGGAGAGCCGGAGATCCTGGACCCCCAAGCCTCAAGGATGCCGCCCCGCTGGAACTGAGTGGGCTGAGTAGCTGTAGGCTAGGGAAGAGAGTAGCTGAGTAGCTGTAGGCTAGGGAAGAGAGTAGCTGAGTAGCTGTAGGCTAGGGAAGAGAGTAACAGAGTAGCTGGAGGCTAGGGAAGGAGAGAAATGAGAATAGAGCCGGAGGCTGTACCTCCCTAGGTTGTGTGTGTGGGACTGTTTCCCCAGTGAGTCCTGAGGACTAGTGTTATCGGAATAAAAGCGTGTGGCCTCTACGAAGTGTCGGTCTCATTCAAGAATACTACATATACATCAGTTAACAATGACAGCACAAGCTATACATTAACAATCACGAACAAAGCTCAATACAAATCATACATTGTTAACAATCACAAGCAAAGTTTCGCACACACATTGACAACACTCACGAGCGAAGCTCCACACAGTTTACCCAACAACAGTCACGACTCCCCGACGACAACTAAGAAAATATCAACAAAAAAAATCATTAATCCGGAGCGCGTAAAATGTACAAAGTGTCAGGGGCCTGGTCTCCCGACCTCCAACCTTTGGCCAGAGCAGCAAAGGCGGCGACCAGCGAGTCGGTCCATGTGCCGGCCCCGGCGCTGGTTACAGTAAGAATGCGCCCTCACTGTCCGGTCGCAGCGCTGATGACGCGGTGTGTTAGGTTGAAGCCAGCTGTCGTCCGGCAGTGAAGGTCGCAGCGCTGATGACGCGGCGTTGCTAGGTTGCAAACAGCTGTCGTCCGGCGGTGAGGGACGCAGCGCTGATGACGCGGCGTCGTCGAGTTGGCCCACGCTGGGCCCGGAAGTGACGTCGCTCCCAGCGGCCATTGCTCCCCCGGCAGAAGTGACGACACACCCGGAAGCATCTCCCACATCCGTGGGGGGAATGGCGGCGGCGGGCTCGGGCGAGCGCCGCGCCTCCTCTCTCCCTCCCGCCATCGGCCGCGAGCACCGCATCTCGCCCAGGAGGGAGGCGGTGGCGCAGAGCAGCTCTGCGAGGCGAAGCAGCGCCTCCTCCATCTCTGCTCCCGACGCTGGAGAGGGGACGGTCGGCGGAGCAGACAGCTGCTTAGCCGGCGGTGCGGCGTTGTCGGCCAGCGTTGGCCGCCCCATCGCTGCCTGCTCCTCTTCATCGCCGTCAGGATTGAAGGTACGTGGCTTACTTCTTGTCTCCATTGCCACTTCTGACGCCAAATGTAACGGGTTCCGGAGACACTTGTAGAGGTAACTTCTTTATTACAATACAACACTCCAACAGTCCTGATAATCTGTTACAGCCTAGGTACACAGCCTAGCTACACAGCCTAGATACTCTACTCTGGCTACGCTCTGGACTCGCCCTCACAAGGTCGTAGCGTCGGAAGTTCCAGAGTCCCAGCGCTGGCTCTCACAGCATCCCAGGGTCTTCAGATGGCTGGTCGTGGGTCTTGGGTCTTGAGTTACAACTGGGCCCCGATCGTCCAGGGAGCTCTCCTTTTATGCCTGGTCCAACGAGGGGTGGGGCCGTGTGCGCCACCAGACATCCCACAGAGCACACACAGCCCCCCCCCGTTGGCGGCGCCCAGGGGATTAAGCGCCTGGGAACTCAACGCCTGGCGCCCAGAGGCTTAAGCGTCTGGACCCCCTGGGAACCCAGCGCCTGGCGCCCAGAGGCTTAAGCGTCTGGACTTGCCTGGGATCCCAGAGCCCCCAGCAGCCCCTCCCTTCTTATGTCACTACACATGCTATGACACAACGTGCCACTGCACACACATTGTCTCATCATCATAAGCCACGATCCAATCTTGATTTGAAGCTTTCGTGACTGCAGGAAGCCACTCTTTGGTTCTTTCGGTAAAGTCACGTAGGTATAAAAAAAAATGAATCATGACGTTTCGGGCGCAACACAAGCGTCCATCATCAGGTGACGGACGCTTGTGTTGCGCCCGAAACGTCGTGATTTTTTTTTATTGTAAAGTCACGTGACTTTATCGAAAGAACCAAAGAGAATGCCACGATCCATCCACTGCTGGACGAAGGTCTCCCTAAGTGGTCACCATTTATTAGTCGTGCGATGCAACAATACGTCTAGCGCCTGCACAGGAGGTGATTGTATCACTCCATCTCCGTGGTAGACGTCCTCTCGGGTGTGTACCCTCCTTTGGCTGTCACTGTCATCAGACTCGACCACCAGTCATCATCTTAACAATGAATGTGATGTCTCAAACTTGTGCATGTTCTCTAAATAATGTGTTCCTCATTCCTGTCGGCAAATATAATTACAAGAATACAACCCTCGATATCTATTTTTAGCCGTTGTTATTTCTCTATAAGCCATAGCGAGTTATAATACACTGTTAAAAATAATCTTCTTTATGGACGTTGGTATGTTACCATTAATCTTAAGTTCAGTTTTCCAAAAGCACTCTAATGTTCTCTAATCGCACCTCCTATTAGCACGGTTGGCTATGTATGGTGCAGAAGAAGTTCAACATACATACAATCAGCCGGTTTATGTCATCATTTTGATCCAGATTTACTTCGGTATGCATACTCAAATATGTTTTCCACTTGTGTTTCTCCAACAGACATTCAATTGTTGAGCGAACTTGTACACATTTATTTTGATACCCACTGTAAGCTTTCTTTATTACGTTTCCGTAGGATTTCCTGTAAAGTCCATCTGTGTTCATAATTACTCTATTATCAGCAAGTTACTATGTCATTGGCAAGCACTGGTCAATAACAACGTCTAATAAGGCCCAAGACTCAACTCCCCGTTCTCTCTTCTCGCCTGCACAGCCCACGAACAAAATGTTTAAAAACACTAAACGGATAATTGTTTAACCGCCATGAAGTTGAATAAATAATTCTCAAATCTTTACACGAAACGTTTCCCCCGTGTCATAATGTATGAGTGATGTAACAGATTGTGACATTATTTTAAAACTGTGTTGTGTGGAGACCGCTGCAATCGATTTCTAGAATGACATCATTAACAATACATTTCTGTTTGATGATGTCATCATTTATATTCTTGTCTAAGCAGTCTGCAGGGGATGGTCCTTTTGTAAAATGGTAAACATTTTGTCAATTTAGTTAATCACGGTGAACACTCCATAATAGGAAAAAAATTATACGTACATAATACAAAATAAAAAACAGCAAGATTTGTAATAAACAACGATACCAATTATATATACAGTAAGACCTTGGATTGTGAGTAACTTGGTCTGCGAGTGTTTTGCAAGACGAGCAAAAATTTAAAATAAATATTAATTTTATAAACGAGCGAGGTCTTGCAATACGAGTAGCACGTGTATACGCTTTGTCTGCCAAGCGTCACATGATCACAACTGATATACGAGTGTTTTGGATTACAAACACGTTTCCAGGAACGAATTATGCTCGCAATCCAAGGTTTTACTGTATACAAAATGTAAATGATGAAGTCACCCACTAGGGCAGGGATCGGCAAGCTGTGGCTCCGGAGCCAGTTGACCAGGGAAGTCCAATTCACCATGGAAGTCGTCCGGTTCTCTATCGGAGTCCAGTTTACCAAAATAATTAGGTAAAAAAAAACGCCTCGATATTTCAACAGCCGCAATGTATGTGAATACGAGACTGTAGTCGTTGATAAATAACGTTCACGAAGCAGTCCTTAAAGAGCCACACGCGGCTCTGGAGCCGCAGGTTGACGACCCCTGGGCCTAGGCAACGGGGGGGCATCACTCACCAGGCGCGAAATGTGTCGTGCCTTGAAAGCGCAGCACGCCTGCCCTCTGCCCCGACACCAGCAAGCGCTCTCCCAGCTCCAACTCGGCAGCCCCATCTGACGTGCCGCCACTCCCCGACGAAGGTAGTCGCTTCCGGACCCCTGTTTCCAGTACCAAAAACGGCAGGTTACACAATCTGTATAGCCTATATTTAACACTGTCGTATAATTTGCACAAACCGGAAGCAATCGATTGTTGCATGTAGGATTCTATGCATGAACCTTGAGGGTAAGAATCAATAGTCATGAGAAATGAAGCAAAATGCTTCCATAGATAGAATTAAAGCATCTTTGCAATGGGGAATTGCCAGGGTGTAATCTAGTGGCGATCCCTGGAATGGCCACTAGTGGCAGTAGAGTTTAATTTGCAAGGTGATAAACCCATCGAGTCTTCTCTGCAAGGATGAAATGGGCCAACAAGTGACAAGCAGTATAAGACATTACGGTATATCGTAGGGTAAATCCTGATTGATCCACTGCTTAAAAAAAAAGCCAGAAAAGAAGAACATATGCGAAGCCGGGGATGAGAAGGAAAATAAACGACCAAATAAACATGACCACTAAAACCGCACCGAGTTCTTACGGCCCTGACCTCACCAATCCACCCAGACCACACTGACCACCCCCATCGATCATGGGATTTGTATACCAAATCCAGCAGGGAACTCCCATCTCAAATATGCACACTGTAATTACTCTCGTCCCTCCAGTTCCCCACGCGGCCACTGCACAACTGTCCACCCACTATTCCCCGTCCCAGCCTCTGGCTTCCACATCCCTTTGCCTCTACTCGCCTCTGCCCCTCCATCTCTCCTTTAACTAGCATGAATTTGGTTGCATCTATCAGTGTTGGACGGAATTTGACATATCATGCTCACCTTTAATACAGATATACACCAACATTTTGTAAACAAATTACAATAATACATCTTCTTGGTTCTTTCGGTAAAGTCACGTAGAAGGGAAGTAATAAAATAATAAAAATAAAACATAATAAAAATAATTCTCACGACGTTTCGGCCACAACGCAAGCAGCCGTCCTCATGTGAAAACCAGGTCTGTCGAGGCGACAGCGTCTGAATGAAACAGCACACGAGCTTGGAGCATATATATAAGCTGGGTTGGAAGGGGGGGGGAAGGGGCGCCCCTGGTTTTCACCTGAGGACGGCTGCTTGCGTTGTGGCCCGAAACGTCGTGAGAATTATTTTATTATGTTTTATTTTTATTATTTTATTACTTCCCTTCTACGTGACTTTACCGAAAGAACCAAGAAGATGAATCCCTGCAGTCACGAAAGCTTTAAATCGAAATACAATAATACACTTTGAGGTTCGGTGCTATACAAAATCACAAGCGCAACCTGTACAACTTAACTGTTTTACAGGTTGCCCTGAAACTACTGCATGGCTTTAAAAGCAACAGCATAGAGCATCAGTGGGGTGCGCCTAAATGTTCCCCCCTTCTGTCTGGCGCAACATTCATTAAGATGGCAGCATTGTTCTGTGCATAACGCAAAACTTAATAAGGGCAAACATCAGTCACGGCAAAATTACTTTACAGAGGAATAAGGTTATGTGTGCCTATGAAAATACATTCATGAATTCTGCATTAGTTATTTGAAGAAACACATACCCAAAGATATGAACCGTGGATAAACACAATGACAGTCCATAAGAGGTTTTTTTGGGTTAGAATTCATAAATATAGAAATGTGTCGTTAAACATGCCACCACCCGACACAGCACATTAATTAGGTTTGTCACGTGAACAGAACGTGCCAATTCGTTTCTAGTACAGCACACCGGTGTGTTGTAGAGGAAAGTCATAACATTTACAATGAGTACGACGTTTCGTCAGTAATTACAACTATCTTCATCAGGCTACAGCCATATTTGTGGAGAAGTCCACCTGTTTCGTTCCTTAAATAGAGGCGTATATATGATGACAACACTTATGTGCGCTTGTTGTGTGAAGTGGGGGGGGTTAATGAATTCATATTTATATGGTGTATAATAAACGTACATTATGCGTTCCTGTACTTCCTGGCGATTGTGTGTCCCAAATTATGCATGACTTGAACCACTAAATAAAGAATTTATATCATGTATTAGCATTGTATGTATCAGAAAATCGTGTGCATTAACATTGCATGGATAATGACAGTGTTCATGGAAGTGATTGTGGAGTGGCATTTTTCCTTTATCAATTTAACTTCATCATTTAACTTACAACATCGCTCAGATAAAAAAAAAACGATAGCCATGCTCAAATAAAAGCATCACATGTGAAACCTGCAAGATGACAAGGTGATCAGGAAATGCGAGTACAGCAAGTGAGTTTTGTCACGACTGGAATGCAAATTATAGAACTGTTCGAGAATGGCTCGAAAGATGAAATTTGGCACAAATATAGTCACGTCGAAGAAAAAGGATTTTTTTGTTAATGTTGGACTTCCCAAACGTTGAAGGGGCAAAAATGTTAAATTATTTATTTTGCCTTTGAACCTAGAATTATAAACGATTGCAATTATAGCTTTTCAAAGGTACTCAACCCATACATGATATCAGATCGTAAATCCAATATATATTTTTAGTTTGGTGCCTGCAAAACTGGGAGTCAATTTTTTTTACTTTTGTTTTTACACCTAGGCATATGAAATAATTCATTTGAAGGTTTTAACGGTGCTGAAATCAAATTTACATTTTCAGGCACGCATTGTAAGAGTGTGACACCAAAGCTGATAAAAAGCAAGACAATCCAATTATATAATAAATGTAGAACTTATTTCGCACCGTATTAATCGGAGGAGCAGTTATTAGTAAGTGTAAACAGTAGCCCTTGCAACGATAATAATCCAGTTTTATGGATGTTTGTTGAAATTCTTTCACACCGTATGTAGCCAACAATGTGGTTCTATGCCACAGCACAAGACCCACAATCAGAATTCGTGAGTTAAAATCCCCATTAAGATTCGACTCAGTCCATCATCTCTCTAGGATTAATAGAACAAGAACCAGTGTGGGAACTTATTGATTCTACTCATTGATTGTGTATAATTCTCAGCACTGGCTGAAAGTGACTACAGGCCTGCATGTGTACATGCACCTGACACATCCTGACCCTGTTAAGTGTTGTTTACATCCTCGCCTCTTGTGGAACAGACACCAATTAAGAGTGAACAGCAAAGTCTGGAGGTAATGGGCCATAACACTATCCATTTACATTTCTTATAAAACGAAACATTGTCTCGATGTGCTTTCAGTGAATTGTGCCTGCATCTTTTTTCAAAATGTGCAGTAAAGGTTTGGAGCAAAAATATGGCTTTATAATATTTCATGAAGGGCAATGGAAACTATATTTAAATGACATGTGAGAACTGCAGTCTTTCGATATAATATAAAAAGGGAGGAACAGAAATATAATATTACATATTTTTTATAAGTCATTACTTGAGCCACTATATAAAGAATTTATATCATTGAATAGCATTGTACATATCATAAAAACGTGTGCATTAAAATTGCTCGGATAATTATGCATATAGAAGCAGATAAAACGAACACCTAAAAATGCTAATGCAACATTTCAAATTCGAGTTAATTCATGCGTGACCTATACCAGTGGTGAGTTATCCATCTTATAATTACACACTCGGTGAGCTTACAACCAAATATATAACTCACATTTTCCAGTTAATGCATTTTTACTTCACAATAAAAACTGCACCTTAACTGCACATTAACCAGCATTTGAAAAATTGTGTTTCTCTCTCTCTCTCATTTAATGGCAACGGTCCGATGAACTGGGTATAACAAGCACATCTATAGTTAAAGTGTCGGTATAAGTCCTACCTTCTGGAACGAATTAACGACGTACACAGAGGTATCACTGTACTGGAATACAACAAAGCTCATCATATAGCTTACAGATATTTATATCCACTTATAATGTAGTTTGGATGTAATAAGAAAATGTATCAAATCTAAAAAAATAAAATCATGAACTTCCATTTATATTTCTTATCATGCAAATATATGAAGTACATTTTTAAGTAAGAACATGTAAAATGCTTATCCCTGATAGCCAATCCAACATGCTCAAGCTCAGCTCAAGTACAGCGGCTGTTTCTGTGACCATACCACCACGTAAGTGGAGCGATGCATTTAGCTCATGTGCAGGAGTGAGATGGATTGTGGCATCGCAGAGCTGTTAGCAATGACGATGGCACAGGGAGGCCTTCATACAGCAGCGAATAGATAACTACTGATGATGACAGAAGACGACATGGTTTTAATAGCATCAGAATGAAAGGCTCATCTTTCTTTAATTGGCTGGATTGTCAGCTTCTCATCACGTGTTAAAACCCAAAATGAGGCACATGGCAAGTCATGACAGAGACTATTTTAAATTAACAATTCTTAATATGAAATATTTGTATTTCAGAGTCTATCTTCACACTTGAATGAAAGTGATAATTTAATTCTTAACCATTACTGCTTTGGAGTAATGACAGTCATTGCCAAATCTCATTTTAAACTAATGTACCATTCATTTTCATTTCCTAAAAGGAAATGAGATATCATTATTGTGTAATTCACCAACCCAAGCAATCAAAGGAGTACCTGCATTTACTTATACAGCTGCCATTAATATATTTTAAGTTCCACTTGGTCTGTACGAGATTTCGTCTAAGATATACACAAATATAAAAATGTGTACACAATAAAACCTTCCAAAGGCAGATTTTCTGGGAATATTTGTCAAACTGCATATATTTCCAATAACCCATGTCAACACCATCTAATCTGATTAACACTTAAAACTTACGAATAGGTAACTCCAAATCTATCATTCACGAACCAAATCGTTGCAGTTTCATCTTAGTGTTGTGCAGTACAACCACGCGGAGACGAGGAATACTAAAAGGGCTGTTGCCGTTTATTAAAACACTCTCACACTCGGCATCCTACGCTCACACCAGTGGAGGTGCACTCTATCTCGGTCCTTCACCCGGACACTGAATACTATCTGGACCCTACCCTCGGCTATCCCCTTGGGCTCTCTCACTCGTCTGCCCGGAGTGGGGGATCAACCAACACCGCTCCGCGACGAGGAGAGAGACCCTCTTCCAGCCGGTCCTTACCCTGGCTCCCCACGACGACCCTGCCCCCTCTTTCCGAAAACCCCTTACGTAACCGGTGACGTTACGTCAACCGGAGAAAAATCCGCACGACCACGGGGAGAGAGACATGCAAACTCCAAATATACAGGCATCAGTTGGGATTGAACCCACGACCTCCTATATATTAGGCGAGGTAGTTAACATCTTGCCACCATGGCACCCATGAAAGGATGAAGGGATTTTTATAACGAACTTGAAGAGAACAAATTCACATAATTCCACGCAACAAATAAGTACGCAGCTTTGCGACTGCTAGTGCACAAATGCACGTAAACTCTAGTAATGACAATTGTCAGGGATAGCATCTTGCACATCCACGGGTGGACTAAGCAAGCGGATTGACTGCAGAATACCACATCCTATCACGCGCAGCGTAAATACCGTGCCAACAGCTTTCCGGTTTGAGATTTTTAGGCATTCACATTTTTATTTTTATTTCGGCCCCCGTCCATCTGCTTAGCAGCGACGGTGGGTCTGAATGTAGTCCCGCCCATTACTGTTTGTCATTTACAAATATCACGGCTTAGTTTTCTGCCAATCCCCTGAGTTATACGTCTTCTCACACTTGATCAATCCAACGTGCCGTTTTTTTGTCTGTCTCCACATATTGATCCTTTTTTTTAGGTGTGTATTACCACATGTGCTATTCTGTCAGGATCCATTTCGAAGAAAAGTCAAAACCACTGTAGTCTTCTCGCGTCGGTATTGTGTAACGGTGCTTTTCTTGCCCTAGATATTTTCTTAAATCAGATTTTTTTAAGCCTTGAAATTCCCAAAATTTTACGAATGGTTTTGAACATTGATGAACGTTAAGCGGTAGCCAATACTCATGCAGGTATCACATTACACGCATCATGGCCCAGAAGTCATCATCATCATAGGCTATCCCTCGCAAGAGGATGATTTTGTTCCATAGAAAAGTTGGATTATCTGTGGGTCCGAAGATGGCTGAAGAGACCGATCTGGGATTGACAGATTCTGCCGCAGCTCAGGCACATGTGTCCAGAAAGAGTGGGTGGTTGGAACTGCATTAGTGAGTCGGGCTGCAGCGTGCTGTTTCCGCCATTCCAGCTTTTCCTCTTCCTGTTTCCGCTTTTGAGTTACATAATGTTAGGATCCTTGAAATAAAACCCTTGTCTCCAGCTGAAGTGATCCTGGGCAAGAGTCTCCCATGAGTTGGTGTCAATGGTGCACTTCTTCATGTTTAATCATCCGACTTTAACACTACCAATGCTGGGTACAGCTGTGGTTACAGCACTCTAAGAAATAGCTGTCTCGGGTGTGGACCAAACAACTTCAAGGACAGTGCATATCATTATCATCATCAGAGTTGTTTCTTTTTGTTTGCATTTTGACTGCTTGTGTTGTGGTTATTGCAAACATGATGCCTTGTATAAAGGTGTCAGTTTTTGTACCAGTTGAAAGGGTAAAAACCTATTACTATGAATCGAAAAGGTTTACAAGTTCAAATCCCACTTTGGAGGGCAGGCTTGGAGTGTAACACACGCAATGACATCTGAAAGAATTAACAAACCAACCTCTAGAACACTGAAGCACAGGCACCATCACACCCCAGTGGGGCTTTGAGACTGTGATGGCAGAAGTGAAATGTATAGCAGCAGGGTACCGTGCTGGATGCGTGATTCTGCTGGCTTTGTCCGGGGGGGCTGAGCTCCTCCTGCATTGCGTGATGGCTTGAGTGGCAATGTAACTGACGCCCTTCTCCTGGTCAAGTGAGGGGAACTGGAACCGGATGAGGATGAGCCAGAGCCTGAAGGCACAGAGCAGGTATTTACTCACATCTATCGTGCATTTACTCATATCTATCTCATTCTTCAGCTCCCAAACACATCCTCAACGACGAGCCTACATTTAATCACTGCAAGCGTGACCACGAAGTAATTTTCTCTTGCAAGTATCGTTGAAGAATTGAACACTCACCATGCGTTATCGACCTCGTTCGTAAGTTGGGAAGTTTTTAAAACCATGGTGACATGAGGCGTGTGTCAGTGATCACAGCAATGCTGCTTCTCCCACTACCGCAATCGGTTCTGTCCCCATCTCTGCTTATTTAGGCATCTCCTACCTCTCCACATATCCCGTGCCTCTCACTCCACATATCTCCAGACTCACATCGCACACAACTCCCATGAGCAGTGATTATACAACTAGGTGCTTCACTTTTGACAGCAATGTTCAAACACAAAGTTTTCATTCAACACCTTCACTCCAATTACAATTTTCACGACGCCATTGCATTTGCTCTGACGTTGCAGCGAGCACCCAAAGGTCAGAAATCAAGGGAAATACCAAAGTCCCAGACAGTTGATATTTAATGCTGGGTATTGTCTGCAGAACACTTTTTGTAAATAGGATAAGGAAGTGAGGGCAATGTGCAGAAGCTTCAATGGCACAGGCTGCAATTACTTTTTAACCTTGACCTTTGGTCAAGGCAAATGGTCATGTTGATTTTGATGACACAGTGAGTGCATTTCTATGAATGGGTAAACATTTAATAAAATGACTGTGCTGGGAGGATGTAGTTTTAAGACATGGGTTTTAAAATCCCCAAATCAATCAATAATAATATTAATAAGTCAATGTCGACATTAAAAGCAGTTATGGATATTAATAATAAATAGATTCAATAATGTATATTAAAAAGAACATTCATAAAAAATACAGGGCTGCATTTTATTGTTTCCTTTATCTAAAAATAATCAGATACACTATCAAGGCAGCACTGAGGCGTATAGGTTCCAATAGCCCTTTACCTAGGAAAGCCAAACCAAAGCAAACCTTGATCTTTGAGAAAAAAAACCTTCATAGGGATGTTTTACCAATTATTATTTTTAATGAGTATGGAGGAAACTACTGTAGGGTACTCGGAGAAAAATCTGTATGCAGGAGAGGAACATATTCAAACCACCACGCAAATGGATGCGGAATGCATTTGCTGGACTACCATATCTTGGCTATTTCATATTTCAGAAGATTTAGTGTCATGCACATGATGCCCTTTGCATGATCCACCAATCCTATTGGTTTGAAGTCTTGTCACCCACACCCTTGCTAGGTTAATACATCACAGATAATTCAAACAAAAAAATCCACAATTTTTCACAAGCCTCATCAGTCAAGGTGTATCCCTGCTAAAATAAAAGTGTGGAGCAGCCTTCAGGTCCAAAATATGTTCTGGACCAGCAGTGCAATTTCTATATTTCTATCGTAGAAAACAGTCTGTCTATATATCTAAAAAAAATCACTCTTGGTCTTTCCCACATGGTTTACTAATTTTATCCACAATGGCATGATGATGGATTGAGTCGATCCTTAACTCAGATTTGAACTCAAGGTCTTTTGACATGGGTAAAGCGTTTTAAAACAAGTACAACAGGAAGTGGGTGTAAAAACGTTCCTCACAATCACGGACCGGTGCATGACAAAATACCGTATTGCAATAATATAAAAAAACGTGGCAGAAAAAGAACGATCACAATTCATGAAACACAAAAGGCCCTTCTCTGCCAACCGCGCAAACAGTGCCTGGGCTTAATACGGTGGAGGGTAATCAACGCGATTAGGTAGAGTCTGACAAACACTGCATTATTTATTGCACAAGTGAATAATTAAAAGCACTGCTATTTTATCAGACGGCATGCCAAGGTGAAGTGACAAACTGGAGGAGACAATTAAACTGGTCTCTCTTCCTCAATAGGCGCAAGAATGGAATAGTTGTGCACCAGTGCCACTCAATACAAGCCGATTCTTAGCCACGCGGCAAAGGGTCGCCGCGAATGTTCCACGGGAAACAGTACACAAGTAACAATTATCGTTATTGAAACATATTTTTTTCATTCAATACCAATAGTGCGACTCATTAGAACAATATATGGTGCTTTTTAAGTGTATTCCTGCTTCACTCTCCCAATACTACCCATCTATTTTTAGAAAGGCTTTGTGGTTTTGTGGCTACAGCTGTGGCTATTTTACATTCCACCATGTCCTGCCACACAGTAGTCGACCCTAATGAATTACATATTCAGTTTTCACCTTAATAGAAGGCACTCGAGTTATTTAGGTAAAGTCACGTAGATAGAAAAATTATAATAAATAAAGTGAATAAAATTAATTTAAAAATTTATTAAAAGAATAAACAGAAAAACACGAATGTAGACTGTAGTCTGGTTCTTAACCTGAGTGAGTGCACTGGCAGTCTATAATGTAGACTGTAGCCTGGTTCTTAACCTGAGTGAGCGTACTGGCAGTCTATAATGTAGACTGTAGCAATGCTTATTAAACTGAGTGAGAGTACTGGCAGTGTATAATGTAGACTATAATAATGTAGATTGACAGTATGCTCACCGAGCTTAAGAACCAGGCTACAGTCTATATTATAGACTGACAGTACACTCACCAAACTTAATAACCATTGCTACAGTCTACATTAGTGTTTTTTAGTTGTTTATTCTATTTATTTTTAATTAAATTATTATTATTATTTTTATTTACTTTTTTTTCTACGTCACTTTACCGAAAGAACCAAAGAATATGAATTCCTGCAGTCATGAAAGTTTTAAGTCAAAATGTAATAACAAGTAATAGTGTGTCCCCATACTCAAATGAGCCAAATGTGTGCTCTCTCCTCTGCTAGCAGTTTTGTGCTCGTGGTGGAAACTCTACGTTTTTATGGCAGGAACCAGTCCCTCTATACAACAATCAGTGTTGACAACTGACAAAGCAATAGCCTCTTTTCTTGACTCAGAGTGGTGATGGGTCAAATGAACCCCAGACGGAGATTTTAACTCATAATCTTCCAACCAAAAGTTGGGTGGCTCAGGAATGCAATGGCACCAGCCGGATTGCATTAGAATGCGTGCATCACATGTATTGGATGAGGCCTTTGGGAGAGTGATGCTTTATTCCTGTGCCAAATGGGGGTCATGGCTCTAATGAGATTGTAATATGTGCCTGGGAGAGAACCTGTGAAACAAACAAACATATACTGAGTCACAAATCATTTCATCCCAATTGCAGGGTTCAAGAAATTTAGACTCACATTAATGTATTCATCCCACAGCGAATGAAGTACCTGATTTGGTTCAGTAATGACATGAAGGCCTTATTTCCCAGTGGTGCAAGCTTTCTTGCTGCATACTAATTGCTCTGCATCACTCGGTTATGGCTGAGTGATACAATACAACACGATCCAATATGGATGTACATGCTGTCTCAATAAACAGCCGTACCCCCAAGACCAAGTACAAGAGAGGGAAAGTGGAAAAGTTGTGTCGTGTGCTTATAACGATATGGGGCAATTATGAAGCAGTCTGGAGTCAAGTGAAAAATCAATTGTATTATGGTAGGATGATCAACTGTGGTATCCAATAGAGTAGCACTTCATCAACCTTGACGACTTTACAGACTGGGTGGGACCCTGACTAGGACGTCAACTCAGAAAGATTTTGGGGGAGGTGGGGTATTCGAACGTACACTGCTACGCCGGTCTTCATAGGTGCTAGCTAACAGCACTTGCCCCGAAAGTATGGTAAGGCTATACGGGGGATATTTGTCTTTGGTGTGGATGGCTTGTGTAAGATGCAAGAATAATGGTGGGTGTCATTTTTGTGAAATGGATCGCAATTCCTTGATGAATTCGAAGCATGATGCAGTTTTTTACACAAATTCTCTGACAGCAATGTTTGGACAGCCAATTGGATCTGGCAGACAGTCACACTGTGTCATTGTACCTCTGTGACAGGGGCCTTGCTTTGATTGGATGAGTGCAGTCATCTGCCTTCATACACACCCACATATGCCTGGATGCTGTTGACCATCATAATAGCATTTTGAGATACTTTAAGGGGATTGACACTGATATAAGGTCAGGTTATGTGCTATCCATTGGACCAAGCAAGATTTTTAGAATGCTATATGTATTGTTACATTTCCCAGCAATATTGTTTTTTAAACATACTATATATGCAGTATGGATAAAGTCGCAGAGTGAATTATAAATCAATCAAGAAGCCTTCCACGGAATAAAGATTGACAGAACATGTTTGGGTAAGACCCAAATAAAATAGACGTTAAAATCGAGTCACTGTCAACATGTATACTACCCAAAGAACCATGGGGCAACACTCAAGAATTCGTTGTTATGAGTCATTTGTGGATATGTAACTAATGCTTGGTGGAAACCAGAGTTTGCCTCTTAGATAAAACCACTGTTGCCTTCTCTCAAAGTGCTACTCGTTTGATTGACCTACGAGGGACAATGAAATGAGTCAACCATCGACTCGGATTTTAACTTGAAACCTTTCAACTGCGAGTTAAGTGCTGTAAACCAGAGTGCCATCAGGCCAAATGAACCCTCCAGAACTCAGCTAATTTGATTTACTTTGTTGTCAAGTTCTCAAGTGTCTCCTAATGCTTCTTGTGCAGCAGCATCATGTCCACCAATAACACTTACTATGTTTACATCCACCTTTTTAGTACATCACATCAAATTAGGCTATTTAATTATTTCCAAAGTGATGTGAATTGGAAGTGACACTGCTATTTTTTGTTATCTATGGTAAATTTGAATGCGTGTTTCCCTAAATGCACAAGAAATTGATTGCTTAAAGCAAGTGATGCTCTCTCAGGTTTACATAGCCCTAAATTTAGTACTTAATATCCTGAGGATTGTTTTCCTTCGCTAGATGCCTAACCGGCAGGAAACATCACCGGGCCCTCATGACCTCGGCCAAATGAATTTAAAAAATGCCATTATGTTATTCACATTTCAGGGTAGAGAAGTGGCACAATGATTAGTTAACTGTGCTATTAACCAAGTCGCCAGAGCTCAATGTCCTACCACAGCTAACATCAGTGGATAGTCACTGTCCCAAGACGGTCTCTTCACCAACTCACACTGACCGGTGTGGTGAAGTATTGTCAAACAACCCCCTTGATGGACACAAGTGAAATGACAAAGGGCCGTAAATTGTTGTATTGTAAATTTACATTCAGATCAGCCCAATGTGAAAACCCAGTCCCACACAGTGTGTTGATTTGCAATGAGCAACCAGGAGTGTCCAATGGAAAAAAATGCATTTAAATATTTTCTGCCATGCCCTTTTAAAGAGATGGTAAAGAGACTCAACAATGCATTAAAAACATACTTTCCAAAAACGTAGCACACACCAGTATCACCCAATCCAAAAGTTGGATGGAAGCACGGCACACTGCACACTGCCATCCCATGCCTACACACACACGTACCTTGTGGTGTGTTGCTGTTATTCTCTGCGGAGGCATCGGAGGAGAAGGCTGAAGCCTGCGCTTTCCGTCTGGGGCCACTCAAGGTCTTCATATTCGTGTGACCTTTTAGTTCACATGGCATAAAGTACACCAAACAAGGTAAAATGCTAAGATAAAAAATAAGTTTTTTTTACATGCCAAAATACACACAAACATTCAAATGTTTAGAGATTACATCAAGTGACGTTGGCACCAATGGCATTAGCCGAGATGGTGTATTGCATTTTTTTCAAATACATGAGCTAAAATGTTAACTTTGTTTATCTAGCCTCTTATAAACTTAGTTTTAATGAAACTGCGTTTCATTGCGTTTCATTAAAAAGGAAGCCATCAGGCTGCTTATAGCGAGCACAACACCCACGCCTGCGTGAAGTGGGAGTCGAATTATTAAAGCACATTAATCATCATTACCGGCATGCATTATTAAAGGTGCCCGCCTTAATAACACAGTACTATCATACTTAATGAAGGCGCATCCATGCACACGTGCCTTGAAATATTATTTTACAAATGATTAAAGCAGTGCTGTTGATCTACAAAAGCTTCACTGAAAGTCTGAAGTCTTTAAGGAGGGTGCTGGTATTGGAATTTTTGGGTCGATTTCTTCTTAAGCATTGTTCCAGTGTACATGGAGGAGTTTAACACGTAGGATTTCGCGACCAATATTATTCATAATAAAGGTTTTTGGGTTACATTACTTAACTATAAATGTGTCATTAAATCACCACCACCTGACACAGCCAATTAGTAAGGTTTGTCATGTAAAAGTAAACCTTATATTATGAATATGTAAAGAACTTCCAGCCCGGGTAAGTCTTGAACTTGGAATTTAACACACCCTGAACCCCTTCGAACCACTCCTTTTATTCTCTTTCCCATCCCTTCTGGAACTTTCCCGACTCTCCACCAATCCCCCTTCCGTTTTTCCAAACGGTCTAACAAACGAGCCCTCATTTCCATTTGGATGTTCCTGGGACTCTTTCACCCTACGTTGGCTCCTCCCCCTGTGATAGCTCCTCGTCAATGAGTGTCGAGCACGCTATTCAAATTCACGAGGAACTGTTAGGACACTATGAGTATATATTTGTGTATTTCTTAATAGGGTTTGCCTCACGGTATCCCTTACACATATGCTGAAAGCACCACAAAGCTGGGTTCAGCAAGCGAATTGCTGTGCTGTAATCTTCAGAATTCACTCGATCACGTTTAGACCTCATGATCTAAGCAGAGTTGAGCATGGATGGGCGACCACCTTGCACAAAAGACCGGTGTAATTGGCATTGTGGGCGGCGGTGGAGAGCAGTGCAGCAAAATCCACTGTAGTTCTGCACTCGCGCTACCTTCACCAACCCGCACTGACCAGCGTGGCAAAGTATGGTCAAATATCCCACAAGGTGTGAGTGAGGGAGTTCCTCATGCAGCAGTGGATTGACACATGGGCTGTCCATATACATGCACAAGTTTGCTTGCAAGCACCAAGAACACAAGCCACTTTCCTGCACACACGCTGACATCTAGTGGATATTGCTGGGTTATCACATTCTACAGTAACGGGAATTCATCTACAGTCGTGGGAATGTACAGGATCTAAAGAAGGGTTAATATAAACGAATTCTTCCTTTCAACCTGACAGAATCTACAGCCGTGTGAAGATATATATATATGTTTATAATCCTTCCTTTCAAGTCCTCACAGTGTGAATTCCCCCACAATTTTTGAAGCATCTTGATATGAAATAACATTTATATGCTTTTTTGAAATCCAAGCTCTAAAGAGGTGTAGGCTTGCTTGCAAGCTCGCCATTCCACATTAACACACGCCCCTCTCTCCGGGGCTCTGTAAAGTGTCGACTGCAGTATAGAGGGGTGGTTCCCAACCTATGGTCTGCTGACCACTGGTGGTCACCGGGCCAACCGGTGATCCGCGCAAAGCCGTGGGAGGTCGGCTGCGGACCTGTTGCAGATTCAGAAACCATCGTATATTTTTTTCTTACTGCATGGGGTGTTCGCAAAAAATGTTTGAGGGTTCAAAGTTCGTCCACGGGCCCGGAAGGGATGGGAACCACTGGTGTCGAGGATTTATCTGGAAGTCTACCATTTCATGTCATCGTGCACCTTTGCAAACATTCCTGAGTAAGATTGCAGTATGGAGGATTTACCTGTAATCCCACCACTGTGTGTAAGCACGTTACCGATCCCTGCCAGTGTAGAGGGATTTACTTGTAAACACATTATGCTACTCGTCGCGTGAAAACCCTGTTATAATGCAGAAGATTTACCTGCGAGCCACCATTCTGTGCACACCGGTCACGGTGAGTGTCCATAATGCAGGCTACAGTATTACACAGAGGATTTACTTGGACGGCATCCGACATGAGAACACCCACACCAGTGTTTTCCATGTTCACTGTGTAAACAGCGTGGTTTTACTGCAGGGGATTTGGCTGTCGGGCAACAAAACCCTTCCACTCCACACGCCCCGTCGCTGCACGCTACACATCGCCATGTATTCCCCGAAGCAAGCGATAAGTCACATCGAACTGTCTGCGACACACTCCGCGAATCCTCGACCGGATAGGTTCCAATTCTTTCGAATGAAATAATTGGAACGTTAGAAATGTAAGGTCATGAGTTCAAATTCTGATTGGGGGGTCAATGCAGTGCATTGCATTCCCAGGGTCAATAAAATAAGTACCAATATGTCAAAAGTCGAAAGTGGTCATCCTGTTAAAAGATTTGCCTTCCCTAGTAATGGGGAATTTCCATCACTGAATGAGTCTCTCCATTGCCGATTTGAGGAAGGAGGCAATGTATCCCAACAGTTCTATCCAGAATGCTGTGTTATTCAAACTTCTATAGGCAATCTAAAGGTTCCCGGCTACCTTGCTGGTAATAACGTGCTTGGGTATATTCCACAGAAAGCACTGTGGTCACGCGTACCGGCGGTGCGGCGTGAAGCGGCGTCGTCGTGGCAAGGGTCGGCGTGTGGGCCCCGTGCCGCGATTCGCAACACTGGCGCCGCACCCCTGATCGCTCCAGAGCTGTTCAAGGAGCCGCGGCGCGACGACTCCTCAGCCCTCGCCACCTTGGACAGTGGCGCAAAGATCCCTGCAAAGTAGAATATCCACCGGTGCGCAGTTAGGGCACTGAATAAGGGGCCCAGGCTCTGGTCTGTGGATTGTGGACCGTACCGGCACCGCATATGGATAGTTGTGGAAAACGGCCCCGCGCATTGTACAACACAGTACAATTCGGATTTATATGGCGTCTTAAATGCAATTGCATCTCAAGATGATGTACAGGGCAGTGGGCATGTTTATTTTATGGACAAGTCACAGGCAGATGGGGAGTTGGCATTGTGCAATGGTTAGCACACTGCACTTGCAATCCAGAGGGCACAGGTTCAGTTCGATATGCTGGCGCGGCAGTTGAACAGCCTCTGTCCACCCAGCAGTACAAATGGGTACACTAAGACTAGGCGATCGTTAGGTCGCATGCGGTGGGGTAAAGTACGGGTACTTTCACCTCTTCCAATGTGTTTTGTCAACATGGAAGACCAAATACCTCCCCCCCCCCCCCCCCCCCCGAGAGCTTCATCGAGTGGAGGCCCTTCTACCAGCAGTTGCGTGAGCAAGACATTTCAGGGCTGCACCTTTACCTTTACCATAGGCAGACAGAAAAAAATAACCCTTCTGTACAGCTGAAACTGTAAGGACTCCATACTCTTTGGTTCTTTCGGTAAAGTCACGTAGGTATAAAATAAAATAAATATAATCCAGCAGCTTCGTTTCCACTGCTGGATTATATTTTTTCCGCCTGAGGACGACCGCTTGTATTGCGATCAAAACGACGTTATTTATTTTATTTTATACCCTACGTGACTTTACCGAAAGAACCAAAGAGTAAGGATTCCTGCAGTCACGAAAGCTTCAAATCAAGATTATAAGGACTCCTTAATAAAACGAGCATCAAGCCAAATGCCTTACGCCCCTTTGAGAAAACAATGAAAAGGCCCCATACTTTTATCTCAGCACTGCTGATACATACGGGCAATTGCTTCGTTTCCATGGCTCTCTGAGCTGCTGCCAATGACAGTGAGGAGCGATGTAATTTGCATCTTAAATAACGATAGTTCTTAAACATTACCAGGACAGGCCGCAATTGAGAATAAGTAATTTGAGGGGGACAAATGATTGTTTGAATCACGAGCAGAGTCACTGTCTACGAACATGCTGTATACAAATCAGTAACGGCTCGGTATCTGTGAACATTTACCTCGTGCAAAATACAGTGACAATCCTCACTCATCCACGATGCTTACGAGGGGGGGGGGGGGTAGGGGGAGCAGACCCCCCTCACATAAAGACAAAATCAGAGATGAAAAGAGTTTTCATCCGATTGTCCATTAAGTGTACTCCTTCTGTCCGCAACAAAGATTATGGGAAATCGCACATAATCGGAAGGGGTTTGTGACATATCGTACTCTGCAAAGCTAAGCAGCGTAGAGCCTGGATTAGTGCTCGAGTGGGCAATCGTCAAGTGAATGGGAATGGCACTCAATTACAGCTTCAGTGACTTCAAACGTCATCGTCATCATTTACATTATCCCGCAGTCAACAGGATGGATTTGTCACATGTACAACTCGAGGAACATTTCCACATGTCCGTGGAGGTTTTGTCATACTTCAGGAAATAGCACTGACAAGGACATCCTCATCTTATTCAAACATCTTACATCTTACATCTTAATAAACATAAAACCTATACACATGTAACCGATTGATGATCAACAACCATATAGAATATGAATAGCATTACATCCTATACATAGCATGTGGATATGGTATTCCATATTCAATATACACCACTGCATGCATATGGAATAGCATTTGAAATATAACAACACTCCAAAATAATTCACAAGGCCGTAAATACGAAAAAAAACATTTCTTAACTGTAACTGAATTAAAAGCATTAACGCACGACCACCGTTAACTTAAATAATCTACAAATCGTAAAAGTGCTTGAATTAAAACCAACGTGACGCATGTATACATGAAAAACCACGAATCACAGAAGAGGGGGAGGGTAATTGAGGGGGCTCATGCGATGCCCGATTCCCTGCGGTGGAGACATAATTTTTACATCAGAATCTAAGCTCCCAAAAAAAGACAAAAAAACTACCCCAATATCTATGAATACATTTGTTTTAAATTCAATCTGGCCGTGGACAGCTTGGTGAGCTCATTCTGTGAGTCATCACAAAGACAGTTCCATGGAGAGCGTGAACCAACCCCATCATCAGAACATGGAATTTCAACCACTGGTTCGGGACCAGAAACAGAGGGCTTGCTCCATTGATTATAGGAGTAGCAAAATACTGTGTTTATAACTGCTATTTATTTATAATTCTCCAATTTATATTCCAGTAACACATTTGGCATCATGTCATGAGAATTAGAAGTTTGCATTCACTGACTCTCACAACGAGTAGTGGTAGCATCATCTTATGATGGCCAATATACAAGGCCCCAGAAGGTGATATCACACTCAATATCCCCAATGAATGCATGTATGTATGTTGAACTTCTTTTGCACCATACGTAGCCAACCATACTTATCGGAGGTGTGGGGGAAGGACCACAAACTAAACACAAAAAGCAGTTCTAAATGAATGAGTTTTTAATAGGTGACACACCATTATAAATGTGTACATTGCATGGCGATTAACCCATAGAGATGGAATATTCCCATTTAAATGAGAAAACAAAAGTATGAAGAGTGCAATAATTGTTGAGTTGACTGAGACCATCAGCTTACCACATGTGAATCCCCAGCTCATTCATCGGTGGCTGCCCAGATATTAACCCAGGCAATCCGCCGGGCTAATTAGTGGCCTGACATGACATACGCTCCCGTCTGAGTCAGTTTTCCCCCCTTACAGCAGAGCACAGTACAGACCTTGACCTGACTCAGACTAGACCAACAGTGGGAATGTGGCACCTTCCAGGCTTCTGATGAAGATCAGCATTACACCTCGCTCCACAGATCACGGGGACACTGTGGCAATTACTTTTGTGCTCGAGACTTTATGGGGAGGGGGGGGGGGTGGTGTGGTGGGGGGACAGTAACCACAGGAGGGTGGGCCTCACCGTGTCGTGGCGCGCACGTGAAGTAGCGTGTGCCGTCCACGCTTCCGTTGTTTTTGCCGTCGGCCTCGTCCAGCTCCACGCCAGCCCACTGGCCGCCCGCAAACTCCGTGGGGCCACAAAACCTCAGCACACCCGTCTGCCATACACACACACACATTGATGCACACTCAAATATATCCTACTTACTCACACAATGGATATACAGTATATATACATTGTTGAGGTGAGGTGTACGGCTCCGTAAGTTGCTGAGAAAATTAAGTGCCCTTTACATGCAAATCCTTAATCCTCATCCAAATGACCTGCGATGATAAATGGATCAGAAACGTGGACATTGACCAAGAAAATGGAACAAAAACTGAAGAGTGCGCAAAGAAGACAGATGCATGGAAACACAAAGAGCAACACGTGGAATAAAGGTAATACGCAAGGGGCCTTGGGCAGGAACACACCGCTGAAAAGGATAATGGTCACTCATCAAGGCCAACGGTGGAGTGGCAGCCAAATAAAGGTGCACGCCAGAGATGACGTTGTCCACAGAGATGGAGCGATGAAATCCATTCGTGTGCAGGTTCTCGGTGGATTGTAACATCGCAGGATCATGAGAGATTGCGACCGCTATGAAGAGGCCTTTCTTTCAGCAGTGGTTTGATTGTGGCTCATGACGATATCCACAAAGACTAAGCTTCCCATATTGTCCTATAGACAAATCCTATATGAGTATGAAGCGGGGTAAAATATATCTCAAATTATTTTATAGACAGTGGGGGACAAGTGTTGGAAGCGAGCAAATTACGTCAGAGAATGATGTGCCTGGCACAAAGCCTGGCCACATTTTATCTCCATTGCTAACGATCACACACTGTTTCAGGTATTAATTTATGGCTGAGAATCGAATAAAGATGGTTAGAATAATAGCACAGCGCGCAAACACCTACACCACCAAAGACAAAGATCCCTTGTATGGTCATAGCAGCCTGACAGGGCAAGTGCTGTTAGCGAGCACCTATTCAAACTGGTAAAGCGCACGAGGGGGTGAGTGGCCAGCACCATGCTTGGTCACCTTTGTCTCTCGAGTAGTGACTTCTACACATGGCACCAGGTACTAATTTGAGGCTGAGTCGACCTAGGGGAGGGCCCAGCACTGGTTCGGATTAATTGTCACTGGTGTTGGCCACGAGTAGAAATTGGGTTCCCGTGTTCATTGCACAGCATGCTAACCAATGTGTCAGTGCTCTCCACCAACACCACGATTCCCATCGACACACACTTCCACACAAATGTCCCTTTTACCTCATTTGCTTTACAGACTAAGTCACATCCTCTGAAATCATTATTCAGCTCACAAATGAGACATTTGTGAAAATTCTAAATTTATATCACAGAGACTGGTGTCTCTACAAGATTTTGATTTCTGACAAAAGGGTACCAATTTTATTGACCTTGGAGAGATGATGGGCTCAGTTGTCCCAGAGCAGAATTATAACTCACCTACTGAGATTTGAGTCTCTGTCACAACACCAAATGAGAGCACCTACAGGACATAGCTCACATTCTTCAGTGGTGTGACCAACATGAAGACTTTTTTTATATTTGCACAACTTGATCTACACAAAACACTTTCACATCTGCCCTCCGTGTTTTCTGCATCATTACCATTTATCACACGCCACCTTTGCAAGGCAAAAATAATACGGCAATTACTAGTATCTAAGGATTACGACTTGATCAGATTGCTGAAGATAAACTATACAAAAGTAATGCTGTTGAGCTTCACAACGCATGACAAGAGGTATTCCGATGGTGACAAGAGCTAGCATAATTGTTAAACTCAGCATTCATTATTTAACACGTTTTCTCAACATTAAAACATCCTTTACAACGGATGGGGAGTGTTACTGATGAGTGAAAATGATAGCTTGTAAAAAGAGCTTTCAGACGTCAGCTACAATCGAGAGGTCATCACGACCATAGCCTGTGATGCCACACTTCACCAGCACTTATTCTCTCTAGACACTGCAACTGCTTCGTCCGACCTCCTAAATTCCAAGGCCCACTCTTAAACGTTTGCCAAAAATTTACTTGAGGCCTTCCCCTGTGCCCTCAACCTCTGGATGCCATCTCAGTGCCTTCCGCAATGGCTTGCCCTCCTTCGTCCCGCACACACGTGCACCACCCATCTCAACCACCTCTTTGTGTATACATCTACAAAACGTTGAAGTTGCTTACCCTAATTTACCATTACATTTCTACCATCCTCTGCATGTAGCTATATTTACAGAGCCAACGCTTATTTTCTGGTTGCTTTGCTTCGTCCAGCTCTCCGACCCATACGGTTAACGTACATTACTTCTGCCTTAAACATCCGTCCAGTAACACTAATGTTTGACCTCTCTACTCGCCCATAGTACACTCAGTACCAGCAAAAAGCCAGCTTCACAACCTTCTTCGAACAAGCTGAATAATTATGCAAATTACAGTTATACATAACAACACTAAATCCCCTAATACCTCCATTAGTGAATGTGGGTGGGCAATAAAAGCAATGAACGCAGCAACGTCAATTAGAAAAACAAAATGCAAAACTGCAATGTCGTCAACAAGTGGACTACTTACTGCTTAATGTTGCAGGCCATGAGTGAAATTGTTTCCATAAATTATTGCTTTTCTTAACTTCAATTACCATGTAGGGTTTCTAAATAAAATAAAAAGTAATCATGGCGATGGTGCTGCGGAAGGGTGGATGTGTGGTTAGTATGCTTCACGTAATCAAGGGTTGAAATTATCCCAAGCCTCCCTTCAGAGTGGATAAAGCACCACTTCGTAGGAATAGGGAGACAACAGTGGCCATCATATGAAGAGACTGGCCCTCAGGAAGGGACCACTGAATCTTCAGCACCGGCCCTGGACGCAAATGCAGATCAGCAACCCTCCCCCCTTTGTTCGTTTGAGCCGGGAGACACGTAGGTCTCAATGCTGTTACGCCTGTGATCGTGCATGCTTATGCATGGAAGTGTCTGCACAATACAATGTCCCTAATTAGTATGCAGCACTGTAAATTACATTTACATAAATTAAGCAAAGAAAAGGCTGTGCTCTGACTGCATCGCACAAGAAGATTATGCTTTATATTAGTCGACTTTCATTAAATCAATGTATTGACCCTAATAGGTCGATGGGGTGATTAAACCCCTAACCAAGGTTTGAACTCCCAAAGCGTCGACTGTGAGAGAATGGTCTAACCACAGCATCATCTGTATGAATGACCCCAACACAGGAAAGCACTGATCCTTTAAACAAACTACAGCGAGTGGTTATTCTTCAGTGACCACATATTACGCCTAAAATTGTGCTAAAATATTAATCTGAACTATCTCCCATGCAAATAAAAGCATATTACTCTTATGGCTAATCAAGCATAGGACACCAGCACAAATGTGTGGATATTATCGGAGCTGTCAGGACATGGTGCTGCAGGTGAAGAGCAGCTGAAGCTAAACTACCGTACTCGTATTACCCCATTGCGTGTGTGTCGACACATACGAATTGATCAATTAAAACAGATCCTTGCGCTTATATGCATTACATAGTGCGTATGCACAGTGTGTTGAACTTCTTTCTTACCGTATATAGCCAACCTTGCTAATCGGAGGAGAGAGCTGATGACGAATTATGCAAAATAAATATAAACCAATACTGTATTATGACCAAGACAGAAAATAACATGATAAAATGTACGACACAGAAATATAAACGAGACAGTACAAAGCAGACAAAAACACAATTTTTGCCTTTAACAATGATAATTGAAATAATTGATGGGGCATTTATTGTACTAATGGCTGGTCTAGAGACCCTGGTGCAAATGACAACAGGTTTATGGCATCATCTGGTCCAACACCATGTGAGACTAGGCTCTAAGAAAAGCTGTCTCGGGTGTGGACCAATCAATTTCAAAGACAGTGCACACATTATCAGAGTTGTGTTTTTGTTTGCATTACAACCGCAGGTATGTGGTCAATGCAAACATGACTCCTTGTAAAAAAGGTGTCAGTTTTGTTGCCAGATAAAATGGTAAAAAAACAATTATCATATTTTGCTACTGGCAAAGGAGGTTCCAATTATGTCAATGGTTTTGTAAAAATGCAAGTAACTATAGCAAGAGCTCCTAATCTAATTAAAATACCAGCAGATTCACAAGTAATCTTTACAATTGGAGAGTGTTTGTAAGTGGCTTTTATCTTTGGTGATTTATAAACTTTTTAAATTAGAACTTTCTTTTATTTGATTAATTCTGCTCATTTGTTTTCTGCCCTGTAGCGTTTCTGAGGTGACTAATATGGTACTTTAATTGTGTATTTCATCGCTTTATTTCTCCAAATCCAATTTTTTCCGATTTTCAGAACATATATTCCAGTATCTCTGTAAATAGCACTGATGAGACTTTCAACCCCTATACGGACAGAGCTCATGTATGAACACTTTCAACCCTCGCTGGAGAGCGTTAGGAAAGAAGACTTTCAGGCCCAGACAGAAAAATTGTAGACATCATGAAAGAAGCAGCACCAAGCTGCTGGATACAAATTGACACTTATCTACAATCAGAATCTTTATACTGGTAGGAACCTCCTGGCTACACCAGCCCACAGGGGATTATTGTGTCCGTCTGTCGTGCAGGGAGGGGCTGGGTGGGGAGGGAGGGGCTGGGTGAGGAGGGGAGGGTGGGGAGGGACTGGGTGGGGAGGGTGGGCCTGGGTGGGGGGTGGGAGGGGTGGGGCTGGGTGGGGAGGGGCTGGTCACCCCGTGGTGCCCTTACAAAACTCAACGTTTAACCTACTCACGCCGGCTTGTGCCCGCCCTCACAGTTGGGCATATTTGCGGAATACACCATGCCGCCGTTGACCCTGGCCATTGACCGAGCAACCCAACGTTCCTACCAGCTCCCTCCGCAGGAATGTGTTTTAGACTGGAAGAATCCAATGCACTATGAAGTCCAGTAGGGGTGGGTCAGTAAGTTATAACAAACAATACAAAAACATGATTGGAGTGCAGAACAGAGAAAATGAAAGCAAGTCCCGAATAAATATAAATAAACATATATAAATTTAATATATAATGTACAAATTGCATATGAATATAAATTCCTACAGATTTTTCAGAACAACGACAAAACAGTCCGAGACCACACCAAGACAACACACAGTCCCTCAATAAAAGTGCACATTAAAATTAAACTACGGATGCAAGATTGAAAATCAAAGTTATAAATCACTAAAGGGTTACATTGAAAAGAAAAAAAACTCAATTATGGAATGATGCCTCAAGATTTGTTCTATTCCAAAGGCAAAACAATATAAAATAATTACAAGAGCAATACACCTCTTCTCACACATAAACCTCTTATCACACGTACAGGGAACTGTTCACGAAGGTCATAGAGAACCGAATGGTAAATTAAGAGGCCACCCAGCCATGCTTGTAGAAATAAATGCCGTATTTATAGAAAGAAAATATAAAATTCCATTCTCTCCAGCTTTGGCAGACAATGAAAATGCATTTGATTCAATGGAAACTGATTCATTCATCCAAGCTCTCACAAACCAAGGCTTAATACAATAATTTATAATTATCAAAACGCAAAATTTTTAAGAACTACACTCAAAATGAAGACTCTATTGTCCCAAAAATAACACACGGTGATTCAACTGCATTGTATGTACCATCATTAAAACAGAAAAAATAATTCCTTAAATCTGTATGCAATGCATCGCTTTCCATTTCATACCGAACACTCAACAGGCAGTGATTTATCGACCGAGTGACAACACTCGACCGGCATTTGCAAGTGCTTTTAATCACAATCAGTTTTGTTGCCAAGGTAATTTAGCATGGGCTGCCAAGCCTCCTTCTTAAAGACTGGCCTCTGACTTACAGGTAAAAATAAAACACTACCACTGTAGTAAAGAGATTCACCGGGGTGCAAGGGGACTGCATACATGAGAGAACACTTGTCCGCTTCTATTTTCAGTATTAACAGTTGGACACTAATGATATTCAGCCTCAAGACCGACCTCTTTATAGACGTAAACTCTTCGAGCTGGAACATTTTAAGAAAAGAGCATGAAAAGAGAAAACGTGTGACCAGTGCGATATAACAAAATCTGGCGGGATTATAAAGCATTAAAACGTCTCTCTGCTACAATCATTTTTGAGCATATATCATTTGTATTGGAGATCTGGATGGAGGCAGTGGTGAAAAAAGCCACATTCCTGTGGCAGGTAAGCATTTCTATATTCTGCAAATGACACCCACCACGAACTTCCCACAAAGTGGAACTCGTTTTATTGACCTCAGACAAATGGACTTGGTTAACCCCAGACTCGATTTGAATGTATTACCTTACGATTATAAATCAAACATTCTGACCAAGGCGCCTTCGAGTTTCTGGATACGTGCTGCAAAGCATAGCCTAGTTTAACTTGAGATGGGAGTCTGGGAATTGAACACGTGGTGTTTCATGGTAGTGCTGGATCAGTCCTTTGACATGGGCATTTGTGCCATGAGCTATCATCTGTCCACTTTCTCCAACAAAATGTTACTGTTGAAAATAATACTACCTTAACAGAAAATACAAACTTATAAATTGCCCACACACAAATTATTTTGTGTGATATTACATTATTTACCAGTATTATCTACATTAAGTAACATAACCAATGGCCTAACACAGATATAAGTTCAAGGTAAACTCTACTTCTCTGTGTACATTTGGTTTAACTCCAATTTAATTGAGCAGTTGCATTCATTTTCACAGATTTTGTTTATTAAGAAATAAAATGTGGAAAATTTGCTTTTTTGGTCAATTACATTTGTTTTTGTTAAAGTTCATAGGTCATGCGTGCACTTGCGTACACCAGTTGAGGTGTAGAGGTTAACGCGCTGTGCTACAAAGCCGGTGACCAGAGTTTAACTCCTAGCCCTGGATAATATTAGTTCCAGCGATATCACAACCATTCATGGATCTTTTCTAGGTGAACTCAGCCATAAATGAGTACAAAGCGCAGTGTGCAAACAACAGGCGTGGGCGACTAATGCAGTCGCGAGTGGGTCTGTTGACACCCGCTTCCTGTTCGTGGTACCGGACTTAATAGGAGCTCACTAACAAGCCCTGAAGAGTCTATAGAGTTATACAGCTACATTTTAGTTTTTGTACAACACTCATAAGCCATATCTGAAGCAAGCTTCAGCCTCCCGTAGGTTAACTCAGTTTTAAAAAAGTGCAGCTGGGCTTGGTGCTGGCCATACCACCACCCCATCGTGTGCTGTGTCGGCATAGATAGGTCCATGTTGACATAATTTACCCCTACAGCCCATAAGGCTAAACAGTGGATCTTTGTATTTGGTATGCATGTGTGTGGGCATGTATACATTCACTAAGTACATGAAAACATATTGCAAACAGAAGCGCTTGACTGCTTCTCAATTGCATTAAAATTCCCAATTTCAACTGCATTGCATATTAAATTATGTTTGCTGAATGAAATTACAAATGTTAAATCTGAATGCTGCATATTTAGCGTGATTTTTTTAAAAACACAAATCATGTGTAAATAGCAATGTGAGGCATGCATTAACATTGCTTACTTACGTGTTAATTAAATGGACTCTACATTGCGACAGCACATGGCACTCCACCAACAAGAAAGCGTCAAAGTGAAATCGAAATACCAAATATGCCTCACTGATACAGATCTCGGAAGCTAAGCAGGTTGGAACCTGGATTGTGCTTCGATCGGCGACTATTTTACAAAACAGGCACTACAGGCGGAAGACAGCAGTGCAATAAAATCCATTAATCAATAAATACAAGATTTATAACGCGCGGCCATAATCAACAAAAAGCTGACACTGAAGCGAGGATGGCACAGAGAAAAATCTAACGAAATTAAACTAGTCAGAAGAGAAAATTAATGTTTTTAGTCCAGTCTTAAAAGCACCAATTGTAATGGCTGAGCCGACATTAGTTGGCAGATTGTTCAGTTACATACTCTTTGGTTCTGGTATGGATTCCTGCAATCACGAAAGCTTCAAATCCAAATCGTTCCGTTGCAGCATACTATCCCTGCCATACCACCCAAACTGCATTGAGATGCTTTATTTCTGCAGCAGATTGACAAAGGTCTAAAATTGAATAAGCTCGATAGAATTGTGGTTAGAGTGCTCATATTATAACTTGAAATTGCTCTTTCAAATCATAGTCTGCAGTCAAATCAGCACCCCATCCTGAAACAAGTCAAGTAAGTACCATTTTGTGGAAGTCAATGGCGATTGTCCTACGGAGAAATGGGCCCACACAATGAGAATGTAAAAATTCCAACACTGGTTTAGGGCAAACAAAGGAAAAAGGTTCAACCCCAGTGTTCAATTGAACATCCGAGGATGCCCGTCCAGCCCCGTTATAGCTAACTTGTGCTACAGTGGCACAGCTCCTTCAAGGGGGATGATTCAGTGTGGTCCAAACCAAGGTTTGAAATGTGTTTAACGCTTTATCAAAGAGAGGTGCCGGTCACGTGGGTGCCGAGTGGCCTCACCTTACGGCCACCAACAATGACACGCTGGCCCACTGTGAGTCCAGGCGGTGCTGGTGGCTGCGATGGGAGTGGAGGCGTGGGGAGCAGTGCGGGAGAGGCTGTGGCCCGGGACAGCAGTCGGCGAATCTCCCTTGCCACCAGTGCCACCTCAGCCATCTCCAGGGGCATGTCAGCTGCGTCTGGCACCACATCGCATGGCACCAGCCCTCGGTTGTTCTGCAGGCATACGCAGGCGGCAGAAAGTGTTATTTTGTTTAAACTAATGCACCGATAGCCATTGTTCTCCACACCAGTTTCTCGGCAATCCCCACGTGGCCCACTTGAGATACCAGAAACGTTTCCTCAATGCACGAGCAACTTTAGTGATCTCCACACCACTCACCACAACCCCAACCAGCCATACTCGACACACTGCATAAAACAATAGCAGGCATATGTTGATAAAATTTTACTTGCAATATTTGCTTCAAACATGTGTTCAAACTTAGCACAGCCACTGTCAACAGATGTAAGAAGGGCGAGTTTGCTTTTCTGAGCAGTGTACATGAGACTATAATTCAAATTCCCAGACCATATGGCCATAACTACACATTGGTCAATCATATGCATTGCGAGTTATTTTCAACTGCAAACATACGGTTTAAGCAACCACAAGGATATCACAAAACAGTCTCTCTCCCAATAGCCAAAGCCAATTTCGATAGCAATATTGGCTCTGAAGGCCAAAGAAACGTCAATTTAGGGAATACTCATTAACGCTACACAATAGCGCTGGTAGCTCTGACAAATAATTTGAGAGCTGGCTTTACAAGGTAAAGCACCTCCAAAAGCTAATTTACATGGCTTGTGCAGTTTTTCATCTCATTTAATGTAATTTTTAGTTTCTGCAATAAAAACGTGTTTTTTCAGAGATTTTAAGCATTACCGTTTGCTAAAGCTTTCACTGGAAATGGTCCGGGGATTTCAATACTATTAAATTTTCAATACCGCCTTAGAAATTATATTCTTAACCTGCAATTATATTTATTTCAACCAAGTTTTTATTAAAATTTCTTTTTTTTAAATGCCAAATCATTCTGTTTAAACTACTCTCATAATTGTTTTAAATATAAAACTTTTAAAAGTAATTTTTTGTTGCTGAATTTGATTTACTTATCAGGTAAAATTCTAGCCAGACAGCTCCATATTTGAAGCCTTTGACTCCAAACCTGAAGGCTATGGGTTAACGTCTCCGTTGAGGGCCAACTACCCCTATCACCCTTCTTGAGTTAAAATAATCAATGTCTCTCCGTGGGACATCAACAATGCTGGCATTTGGAGTGACCAGCCTTGGCCACCGGATTGTGGAATTTCCACCCTTAGTTCAGGGCAACCAACAGAGGCAAGTGCCAACTAATTCTCATTCGTTCAGATAAACAATTAGACTGTTTTCAAAACGTGACAAGACTCCATAATAGAGGTTTTTGGGTCAGATCGCGTAAATATCTAAACGTGTCGTTAAACCCGCCACCACCCAACACAGCCAATTAGTAAGATTTGTCACGTAAAAAAACACGCCAATTCGTTACTAGTCCAGCACACCGGTTTGTGGAGGTGCATGCCTGTAATTCGGTGATTATGCAGAACAAATGTTGGCGATTCACACGTAGATGGCGCCAGTCATCGGTGGAACAAATACCTCCTGGGGGCGCCGAGCTGCCAGGAGAAGGCAATACAGATCTGTGAGTGCAAAGTTCTGGGTGTTTCCACTCACATGCTCATGCTTTTTCTGGGCATGCAGGGCATTCTAGTTTTCATCCAAACAAGATAAGGCACCTACAGTTGTACGACAAGTCTTTTTCATTTTGTATATGCCTGGGACCATAAACTCCATTGCGCTAGCAATATGCGACACTGAGTTGTGAAAAGAGGTGGCTTGAAGGGTAGAACATTGACGGACAAAGCTAAGTGAAGCGACAGCCTTGAGATTTGAGATGAAAACGTGTTGGTTCCAATCCTGTTCTAGTCACAAAGTCAATGGTCATCTCAGATGAATTTGAATTATCGAAATACAGGTCTACCTTCCAAAACCTATTTCTCACAAGTGTAGGGCCAAATTGTACATTCATTCGTACAAAATCGCCAAAATAACCGTACGCATCTTTGTGGAGCATATGAAAACTAAATAAATAAGCAGGCAATATGCTTCTTCCCATAGATTTCTCTCTACATAGAATTTGTCGAGGTTGATCCCCTTAAAAATGTTCCAGCATATATCCTAATAATACCTTCTGTTATTTTCTGCCCACTCAAAGCACAAGGATTTTTTCAGCATACAAAAACTGCCACAAAAAACATATTCAGGGATTGTAAGATGCAGACTTGGTATTCTTTAGTGATAGGCTTATATAACATTCATGACATTATTAGTTTCATATTTCTTCTTAATCATTGTTACAACTATAACTTTCTTATTACCACGATTTCTTTTATGTATATTGAGAAAAGAAGTTGCCAACTTTTCACCCAGGCAACCCGGAGAGCACAGACTTAGGTTTTCTTAACCCATAACTTAAACAACAGCTACATATATTTAAAAACGCACAAGTATAAAAAAACATTATACTATTTATAATTTCAATAAAAATATTTTTCCTTAAAATAACGTCAATGATTCTCATCATTATCATCAGCTGTTGTATATCCACTGCTGGATGAAGTCCTCGCAATGCAATGCATTGCCCTCATTATTTTACAATCGATCTCACTGTTCAACATTTTAGTTTTTGTGACCAATATCGTCCATAATACAGTTTTGTTTTGGGTTAGATCATGTAAATATATAAAAGTGTCGTTAAACCCGCCACCACCCGACACAGCCAATTAGTAAGGGTTGTCACGTAAACAGAACATGCCAATTCGTCACTAGTACAGCACACCGGTGTGTTGGAGAGCGAAGCCACAACATTTACAATCTGAGTGCAACGTTTTGCCAGTAATTAAAACTAGCTTCATCAGGCAACAGCCAGATTTGTGGAGAAATCCTCCTGTTTCGTTCCTTAAATAGAAGGAAGGATGCATTTATGCGATCTAACCCAAAAAACCCGTATTATGCATCTCACTGTTGTACATGCAACGAACTCATCGCCCCATCTCCACGCTGGTCCACTGGTGCGCGTTCTCTCCTTTGGCAACCGTTTGGTAAATCGTCTTTGTCCATTACCCTCTTCTCACAACTGCCCTCATGCACGTACGTTCTTTAACAACCAGTATCATGCCTGTGACTTGCATTTACTTCCCGACCAGCTGCTCCTCTTTCTTTTAGAGTTTTGCCCGGCTCGCAACTCTCCTTGTTTCCATCAAACGCTCCTCGTTTCTCAACCTCTCCTTGCACCCTTCATCTTTTGTTCCATCTCGATGGTGCTAAAGGTATTCATTGGCTGGACCAAAGCGAATGACTAAACTGTGAAATAAGTCACGTGTTACATGGACAGTTTGACTGGACATAGGCAGAGATGTGCCTTCTTCACTCACCTTGAACAGAGGGTTGGCCGAATGTTCTAGAAGGCTCTTTGCAGCAGACAGACACAGGTTGGAGGCCGCGATGTGCAAGGCCGTCCCAAAGTCAAAATCACTGCAGGTTGCGTCTACCTCTGGTAAGCAAGAGACATTAGAACACAGATGACTCCTACAATAAACATCAGGGCCCATTTCAAATGGGGGGGGGGGGGGGGGTTCTCTTTCCCTCCACGAAAAGGTACATGTGCAAAACTGCTGCGAACACAGTGGTGTGTCTATACGAGCCATGCCATGAACGTTATTGCGCCACTAATCACAGAAACTCATCACACTTGTGTTCACAGACTGTAGGAGCACAATTAGTGATCAAGTGAAGAAAATGTGTTTTATTTTAGCCGAATGCCTGGGCACTCAGTTAAGATTAAATGTAGAATTGGGTCAATAACCAATGATACACCAGAGACAATCAAGAAAACTTTTAGTTTCATAATCCTTAATTGACATCAAGGGTGACATTTGTCACTCAACTTAATTGCATAGTTAAAGAAATCCAATCATTTATATTGATCTGACAAATTTCAACTGCTTTGTTCAAAAAGTCTCCCTCCTGAAAATTTCCACATTCCCATGGTGAGGGCCTGCCTTACCACAGGACAGTCACTACTCACTTCTCACAAAGTGGTTTGATATTGACTCTATTCCAGAGGGGTGACGAGCTGATTCAACTGTTGACCGAGAAAACCTTACAATTGTATGGTCCTTTCATCAGAGCCAGCCAAACAAGCACTTGATTATTCTTGGAAAAGTGAATCACAAATAAATTACATCTCATCTTACATTGCTATGGTGCAGGGGGGAAACACTGGTCTTCTAAAAGTGGCCCATTTGTTGTCGTGACAGACATCAGCGCAGTGAGCAGGGTACATTCTTTCCCTTGAGATAGTTCAGGCCATAAACAGGACACACATGCCCAGCTCAGAGCCAGACGAGGCTAGACATGTACTTTTGGAGACAGACTAGATGTTTGCACACTACTTAAAGATAACAAGGTATATTAAACATTGCAGGTAGAAATAAAATTAAATCAATTTTAATATTTCTTTTTTACATTAGTTAAGTTAATATTTGAGCAAATCATGCAGGCGTATTGTTGGCTGACAGAAGCAATTATTGATATCCCAAAGCAAACACCAAGGAGAAGAGATGATTCTCTACGTGGGCTGAAATACATTGTGCGATGACAAAGTAGCTGCATAGCAGAATGAAAATGGCTGTAAAGATGAGAAAGAATTGGAGTTTATTCATTATAAATTTGGCTTATTTAAGCAGTACAAATAAAACGTGAAAAACACACTAATTCAACTCTACTTTGCATTTTCGGACTGTAACCAGTGCGTCATTCGGCATGATGTTCCGACATTTCTCTCCACGAGCCGGGGGGAGTGAAACGTCACAGACGTCATGTTGGACAACACGCGGCACAACCAAACACGTACATACACACATCAGGATGCTCCACGTGGTGCCTCCAACACAAGTAAGCCTTCATGGCACCCTGATGGTGGCCAAGATGGCAACAATGAAAAAACTGGTCTCCAATGCAAAGCTGATATGGGGCAGTGCATAACGCGACCACACCGGGTTCCTCACCTTTGGGCCCGACTGCTTGAAGGACGACAGGGATGAGCTCGGGCACGTCAAAGTAGGCGGCATAGTGGAGCGCGTTCATGCCCGTCCAGCGGCTTCTCAGTGACGGGTTGGCCCCCAGCGTCAGCAGGCGTCCCGCAAATGCCGCTGCTGCTTCCGCATCGCCTATTCACGAGACAACGTATGAACGACAACAACAACAGCAGCCGCCATTCTCAACAAAGTGACGGTGGCATTACCGCAAAGCCTGTGTCAGGCTAGGTGCACTTTGAGGCCACGTGTAGCGTCGAAGGCTCAACGGCAGGAGATCATAATGGTCACAGCAGGTAACATTTTGAGATGGGATGAAGGAAGCAGTCTCACCAATTCCTGGTGCCCCAGCCTTGCAGGTGTAGTGGAGCAATGTCATGTCGGTGAGCTCATCTCGATCATTGGGGTGGCAGCCACGCTTCAACATCTGAACTCACACAGGAATGAGGGCAGCATCAAAGAGGGACTTCCGTCATTTATTATTCTGCTGTGGTGCAAGCACCAGTAATGAGCACTTGTTACAATTGGCATGGCAAACAAAGGCAGTTACAGAATAAGTATGATGAATGGCCTCAGCATCGAAGTGGTGATGATTCACTCACAAACTTGGGGTGTTGCTCATCCACATTGAAAGCGGTACAGCGGTGTAAATAACAAATTCCTATGGCGAGGGCCAGTTTATGCATATCACACTCGATGTTGTCTTCCAACAAAGTGGAATAAATGTTATCAATGTTGTATGGTTGATAAAATGAGCTGAACCGAACCCGAATTCCAACTTGCGGAATTTAAAATGCAAGTTGAGTGGACACACCACAGTGCTATGGTTTCACACTCATATGTTTTAATAAACAAGATACATTAAACTCTCCCAAGTCTCGAACTGCCTACATTTAACCTAATGAAGACTATGTGATGTAGGTTGTAATTATTATGTCGTACAAGAGAACAATCACATTGCTATACACATGCTCCCCAAAAAAATGAATAATACCCCAACAGGCAGGTCATTGTGTGACTACTGCAATAAACAAAATACCCCATGGTCCCCTCTGTGGCATGGTTTTGCATGACAGTCCACAAGTCAAAGGAAATCCTGAGAATAACAAAAACAATTATTGATGTGTCCAACTCACATGAGCAAAGTACAATGCTCCAACCCATCAGATGCAGAAATGCCACAATACCACATGGCTGGAACACAAAGTATTGCTTTACAAAAACTTGTATGCATTACAGTGTACATCCCTCTAGCCAGATGGTATTTTATCACAGAGCATGATGCACAATTGGAGGAAGCTGTGAGTTCAAATCCTAGTATGTTGTCGACTCAGATCATCATCCCTCCAAGATCAATAAAAATTAATATCACTGTCAGAGATGCACATTAGGGAGATGCATCCCCAACAACAGCCATGCATATTTTTCAACACTGGTTTAGAGCCACTTATGAGGATGTGCACCGCTCCTGGCACCTTTGATTAAGGAGACACGCTGTGACTTTAATGATTAACCAACGATTAAGGGGGAAGACATGTGAATATATGTAGTACTGAACACTTTTTTAAACGTGGGCATTGACTGGTCAGTTGACAACAAAGGAGGCTGCAGAGCAGAACATTCTTTACTCTCGGACCGCCCTACACACAGGAGTTTAATAATTGCGGCTTTCGCAAATTCTACAGCGTGGGCGTAACAGCTGGCGGCAACCTTTCACAACAATGTCCAAGGCACACAGCGATTGCCAGAATAACTTTAGAGTAAAATCCCATGAATATATTTCCCCAAAATATTTGTTGTAATTTGTATTGTTCAATTAGTAATGATGGTTTGATAAAACGGATAACCTATGATAAATTACTCATTTCAATTTCAATATTAGTGCTCCAATATTTTTTTGCTGCTATACTTGGAGGTGGCAACCTCCATGCATTCTCATGTAACAAAAAATATTTACCTCCTTTAACGTAAAATAATAACCAATCAATTCCACTGCCATATATACAACACTAATTTTGGCTCCCAAGAGACCACATTATTTGGAATGTTGTGGCAATCAATACGTCTCCCTGCTGAACTCAGCAATGGGATGGTGCTCATATCCACAAGTGGCTCTGAGCCATAGATAGATATGTCAAATTCCCTTGGCCAGAGCCAGTCTCCATGCCATTCTCAATGTCCTGCCGTGTTTGTACACCAAGACAGCGGGACATGGAAGGGGCGGTATGGACACAGCAGGGCATTGGAGGGAGACATACCAACACAGTGGGATATGGAGGGAACTATGTGGACAAAGGAAAACTAAATGTAAAAACCAATCCACCCCATAGAAGTCTATACGGAACAGTATATTGGCATACATATGAATGCATAAATGGGCTTGGGCAAGACACATCGTTGAACAGGATAATGACCATCGGACAAAACTGGTGATGGAACAGCAGCCGAAGATGTGAACGCATCCAAGAGGGCGACCACTGCAGAGATGGAGCGATGAAATCAGTTCATACGCAGGGGTGAGCTGCATAGAAAGAGCATTGGACCGCAATGGCGATGACGTGGGGAGACCTTTAGACAAAAGCAGCGAGACAATGGTGAATGATAATGATGACTATGAATGCACACAGCCATGAAGCTCTGCATGTATTAATTTACCTCCCAATAGGCCAACCTCCACCACCTACGTCACCAGCTGCATGGCCACGTCCATTTTTAAAGACGCCAATCACAAACCTCAACCACTGCCCACGATCTGAGTATTTACGTAAAGCAGGCAGCAGTGCACTCGCCAAAAACTCCCACTCGTGATGAAATGTCAATACCCAATTGTGGCATTTATAGTGTGCCTTGGTTAGCCTCTCACACTCATCTGTGTCCAACACACTAAAGGCAATAAGACGCAGTGCTTTTTTCTCATTTATTTTATTACAGCATTTAGCAAATTTCTCCACCAGCATTGGCCTACAGGAGGTGTTATTGTTCCCCCTGTGGCTATGGGGTGGGTTAATAGAAAGATGAGTGCATAACTCCACCGTTGCTAATAACGAGTGGATATCAACAATTCCACAACTAGTAAAAAACGTATTTGTGGGCACCACCTAGAGACGAGAATTTACACAACAAGCTCAGGATGCACTGCCTGCTTTTAAATTAACAACAAGATTCCAGTGCTCATACACTTAAGAGAGCAACAGGGAGGTATTTGTCTCCATTAGCCAATGAGCAATGGAAAATCCACCATCCTATGATGGGCGCGAGTCTCTCCGTAGCACAACCACTGCTGACTTACCGTTAAGTGGTAAAAAAAATCAACCCCAGGGGGAACAGATAAATAGAATTTGAATTCCAATTGAGAGTCAGCATCACGCAAATAGATTTTTATTGTATTCGGTACATGCGTTCTATAACTGTGCGGGCGTGAACTGCGTAAGAGCATATTCCGTCACCTTGCTTCCAAGGACATGTGGATAAACGCGTAGTCCGTAAATATATCTTAAGAGTATGACGTGCACATGTTGAATCACAGGTGTAAGGAAATGGATTACCTATGGTGCTAACCTTGGGGGTTATTCAAACGTGGGGTATTAATAGCGGGTCGCCGGATGCTGCGACCGTGTCCGTGCGTCATTTCCATGATGTGGGTGCGTGGGCCGTAGCAGAGCCGCTTTCGAGCTGGACTTTAAAACCCACGCAAATACATCCTTCAGTACAGTGGCGAATGTTTGGTCACCTTGTGTTCCACGGAAACTGCCGCAAACGCCACCAATAAATGGGGATCATACACCACACCAAGCGCTTGGAAGACCCTGCTGAATTGTTCCATCATGTTCCGTAATTTGAAACAAGAGTGCAATTTTTACAGGCTACCTTGGCCGCTCAATAGTCCTAGGAATCCATTTTGTAAATGGTCAACGGATTTATTCCTGGATTGGCCTGGTAATTTTGGTAGGGTACAATCAATATACATTCAAGAACTAATAATGGCCATGCTGATGTCATCGCTTCATACTGCAAAAGCCAGCAACTGGTGAATAGCATGCAATTCATTTCCAGTCGACATTGTCTTTATAAATTATATATTCAATACTCTGTGGCATCATGCATGAAAGTAGGCTACAGACAACATTCATGAAAGTAACCGTGTAAGAACTGAAATCTAAAATATGAATATTACGTACAATTAAGGTATTACAAATGTATGACCGTCCCTCCAAAATGCTAAAGTTAAAGTATATGCCTGCATGTAGTGCTGTTCATTTCCATTGGTGGCCTTGAGTCAGTGGTGAACATTTTCCATTCCTGTGGCAGAATCTAGTCTCACCATACATCAATTACTATGTGACTTGCCAAAAAAGCGGAACTTATTTTATCGACCCACGAAGAGGATGATGGATTGCGTTCTCCCTAACCAGGATGTGCACAAGCAAACCTTCTGACTTCAAGACAGAAATGTTTTTTTGTTTATTTTTCTCCATCAAAACTATCTGTGAATCCGTCAGGATTTGCAGACAACAGGAAGATCTGTAAATCCCCTAGCCCCTGCATGTAACATGATTTACAGATAAGCGGATGATGGATGGGTTGTACTGTGTTTTTTGCGGGTGTGAAGCAAATTTACATTTCTGTTCCCGCTGTCCCCTTTCATTGCTCACGCAAACTCGCCTATCACACATCCCCACCACCCTCCCCCCCCCCTTGTCCTTTGTCACCATGATTCTCTTGGTCCTCTCTAACCGACCTTCGATTTACGTCACACGAAGTTTAAAGTATAGATTCTTAAGAGCCATACAATCTGTAATCCAAGGACACTGCTCTTTAAGCTCGAACCAGGATTTGACAGGTGAGGTTTAAAAGGAGATTTGATGAAAAATGTATCAATCTGTCGCATGGCTATAGTTCAACAGTGCAAAGATATGTGAGGAAAATGTAGGAAAATTAGTTTTTTAGGTTGCACTGGGTGATGCAGCGGTGTGCAAAGGTAACAATTTCAAATCTCACGTGTAGGATGACACTGCCGTTGTCCCTCCAGGGTTGCTAAAATTATAAACCGAGTATCACTTTTTGGGAAGTGAACAGTGGTAGTTGTATCATTGTACGTGGTGTTTGATGAGTTGGGTATCCACAATGAAAATGTCGCGACAGGTTCAGTGGTGAAATTTCTACAACTGGCTCAGAAGCATGCCAATGGAAATTACTTTCTACAACAGCTCGGTCATTCTTATTCTTATTTTCAGCCTGGAAACTAATGCTCGTGGGATCATAGGATCAGTTAAATCATGGAGAGGCCAGACATTGCTGACCCCATTTTGGTGTAAGGGAGGGCTCACGAGGCCTGGCTGACCTAGGGAAGCCTCGTAAATGTATGTCAGCCGTATGTTTCAACAGAAATTCTGGTTGAGACCAGTCAGTTGGTATCACAGTCGACCAACGGGACTACAAAAGCTACGAATATAACCTTCCGGACAACCACTCGCACTACCGATACCACCAGAACTTGCACTGGAGCAACTGAGATCACAGGGATGACCACTGGGACCAGCGGAATTACCATTGAGATCACCAGACCTACCAAGAGGGCTACCACTAGAACCTCTTAAGACTACCACTTGGATGGCCAGGACTACCACTGCAACTACAGGGACCACCGAGACTACCACCACTGAGAATTTCATGACTACAAAATTATTAGATGTTCTCTCACACGTGTGTAATTTATGTAAACACACAAATGCTCACACGTGTATGTATACATGCGTGAATATGTAACACAGAAATCGCCCACAGAAGAATCTTAATTCCTGCAGCAATTGCACAGCTCTAGTCTTGATAGATGCTTTTATATTTTTATTTCAGCATGAAGGAACCAATGAGCTGTTTGGCTCTATTTCACGAGTGTCCTACGATGGTAAAGATGTTATTCAGTGCAGATTTTAAGTTACAATCACAGCACTCCTGATGACAAACAATGTGCATTTTCGTATTTGCTCGTGTGCACAAGGTTCTCGGAAACTGTGGCCAGTGAGCAGGCGGGGGTAGAGTAGGTGGAGTAGGAGTCAAGGGTCACCTCGTTTCCGATGAGCGCCACGTGCTGCTGCACCTGCGGGACCCACTGGCGCAGTACGGCGAATAGCTGCGACACCGTCGTGCTGGGGGACAGCAGCAGCGTCTGGCACGATGGTTCCTTCGGGTCGAAGAACGCAAAATCTGTGGCGAGAACAACCACACGCCGCCCACGGCCTGAGTTTAGACGTGCCGTTGTTAAAGTGGCGGGGCCAGATTGACAATGCAGCAGTTGCCGAGGGCCCCCTAGTGGAGGGTCTAAATCGAAGCATGGGTGGGTGTCGCGGCTGCAATGAAATCCCCTAACTTAAAGGGACCCCCACAGTTTGACTGTTGCAGAGGTGCTCGCGAAGATTAATGTGGTGTCAACGCTTTTCCCTAAATGTTGGTCGAGATCCTTATGGAAAGCCTGCAGTCAGATTGTGTCTCTACACAGTGAGGCAGCGGCTCTTTGCCATCAGTGGCCCCGAGCCACCAGAAGAACGTCTATGTTCCGATAGTAGGGGCCAGTCTATCCATAAAACAAATACGGTTGAAATCCCTCTAGTACCGTAGTTGTTCTTTAGACTGGCCCCTGCTATGAAAATGTGGAATTTCCATTGCTGGATTTGGATCGCCAATGGTTAGGGAGGACAGCTCCATAGTCATTTGAGGAAAGAAACACCTCGAATTGACTCCTGACACTTGAATTAAATAAATGTATAATTCAATCAAAAACTACAATATACTGTTAAGTATATTATGCAACAGTCACAAATGCAATGCTGTCCTTACCTAAATGGGTGGCTGGGTTACTCAGGGAGCTCGTGTTCGTGTCAGAGCACTGAACCAGTGCCACTGAAATCCGGCATCTAAATCCTTGGCCTACCACCAGGGATAAAATCAGGTTCCCAACTACAGCAGGTGTGATGGTCTCAGCTCTATAACAAATTACTGTTAAATAAAAACAGCACGCACTTCAACTAACAGGAACGGTGATTTAGTGGTTCACACACGATGCTTTCAACCTGGAGACCTGAGATCGAGTCCCACCAACAGCTAACATTCATTACACGGTTCTGGGTCCCCCTTTCACGAACTACAAACCCCTCCATGGCCGACAAAAGGCATAGACAAACTATCCAGCACTGGATTGACAAAGGGCTGTAAATAAGTTTAATTATTACTTACGGTTTGCCAATTTCTAATGCCCAATTATGAAGCTCTCTGCTGTGCAAACAATTCTCATCTTAACGGCGGAGCACGTGGGTGGTTAGTAGGGAAATAAAGATACTACATAAAGTACCAGGAAATGAAACGCCACTTCAAGTCCTTCCTCAACGTGAGGCAGTGCTCATCTCCATCAGTGGCCCCGAGCCACCATAAATTGCCCAAAGAAGAATCATAATACCTGCAGCTCTAATGTTCAAATATGTTTTAGAATTAACTTTTTATTTATTTCAGCAGAAAGGACCTAATGATCTGAAATGCTCTCATTTCATGTGCATTCTGACAAGCCAGACACTTGTTTACACATAAGTAGACTACAGGCTAAAAGACTGCACATGAATGCAACTGCAAGTTTACGGGGATTGTATGTCCAAACATGCAAGGGGCCTCACTCTGCCAGAACCGACGACGCGTAGTGAGGTTCAGTACTGCGCGGAGTGACACTCAGTACTGCCGACTCCGCACAATGTGAGCACGCAAATGCCACTTGAGCTGCACGGGAGAATCTCCACTCACAAGACAGCTGACGACCACACCTCACCAAAAATAGCCGGGTGGAGGGTGGCTGGCAGCTGTCGGTGAGTGGAAAGTTGAGTCAACTCTGCAGCAGACGCAAACTTTTGGATCACCTCTCACCAAACATCGACAGAGGTGGCAACAAAAAATCCATCGCCAGCTCTGCATAACCTTTACGTTTTAGCGCATTGCAAGCAGAAGCACCACAGCGAGAGGATGCAATAGCAAGCTTGAACACAAATACAATGAGTGGGAATGACAGAGTTGGGTACTTGTGTACACAAAAACCACACTTAATACAGAATTGGATCAAAAGTAGAAGGCTGGAACTTCCTGAAAAAAAATTCTGAGACTTGTAGGGGCTTTGTTGGATAAATAATGGATTATTGTAAATGATTATCTTTTCAGGTGGTGCTGTCTGGTTAGTGTGCGTATTTCAAAATTGGAAGTTTGCCATTTCAGCCCCAGAATGCAGTGGATATCCCACGGAGAATATGGCCCCCTTGCTGGTCGAATTTCCACCACTTGCTCAGGATCAATGACGGAGATAAGCGCAAACCAAATATCATTTGGGTACAAGGATTAGATATATGTTTTGTATTTTTTTAAAAAGTTATGCATTTTTACTATATCTACCTTAAAAGTTCCACTAAACAACCAATCAAAACACAAAAAATATTTTTTAGTACTGAAAGTTCAATTTCGATTTAAAGCTTTCGTGACTGCAGGGATTCATCTTCTTGGTTCTTTCGGTAAAGTCACGTAGAAGGGAAATAATAAAATAATAAAAATTTAACATAATAAAATAAAATTTCGACGTTTCGGCCACAACGCAAGCAGCCGTTCTCAGGTGAAGAACAGGTCTGTTGGAAAGACAGCGTCTGAATGAGGGTACTGAAAGTTGGTTGTCCCGCACCTTTCCATTACCTCCTTTCGGCCAGACTTCACAGCCGTTGCAGTCAATACCCGACCTACACGACAAACTCTTAAGAGTTTACCGCCATCTGTGTTTACGTCCATTTAACAATAATGCACACGATGTATTTTTACATCTTTCCTGCCATCAATCAACGTCTGTGTGTCTAAGTGGGAAGTTGTGGCATACCAGTATGTACATATTGATTCACCTACCTGACAATTCAAGATATTTACACAATTCGAAGGTCAAGATTTAAGAACTGATTCTCTTTATTTAACATTATGGTTAATTTAGCAGCTATATCGTGGCTGCAGTGGAAATGTGAATCAATCACATTATGCATCTACGAATAAAAAATAATAACTCTATACATGCATGATTTAGTGCATTTATCGTGAGTGTAAGAATACATTTTATTGGAATAATTCATGCATCTTGACATCCCTCCTTGTTTGTGCACTATGATATGGACACAGTGACGTGGGTTCAAATCCTGTCCATGTACATGAATAAAGTGGTATCTGAACATGTCCTGGTCCTCCCCTAGGTTGCCTCAGCCTTAAAGAATATCTCACATGTAATCAATATTGAACACTGGGAAAATGAATGCAAATGACCATGGTGCTCCCCGCACTACCCGATTGTGTGCTGCACCAAAATGTGCTCACAGAACACAGCACTTGTCCCAAAAATGCCATAAGGCTAAGTGCAATGCTTGTATATTTTCATTCGTGTTATAAAAATATATTAAATAACACGTATGGACCTTCCACAGAACACTCAGGAGAGACAAGCTCTAGTAGTTTCTACAACCGGTGCAGTTCCTGATATGACAAATGATCACCAAGACATTTTCAACTTTGCTGAAACCTGCATGTAGTCCAAGCAGTTGCAAAAATGCCAATGTGGCACCTTGCATGCATCCATTTATAAATTACTAAGTAAGTCATCGCTGCTCCTTGCATTTCCAAGTGTCAAGCTATGGATCATCCTTCACGTTAACTATGCAACTTTTCCTCGACCAATTTGAAGACCAGGAAAAATAAAACCCACGAGCCCCTTTATGCATGCAGATAGTATGGGGCAATAAGAATTGTTCTTTTTCCCTCAAGAAGTCACAATAATGTTCTCCAAGTCAGCAAACATAACCCAGGGAGAAATTCATATAACCATTCTCCTCCCTTGGGAGCCTAACAGTAGCACACGACCCCTGTCTCATTATGTAAAATATTTATTTTTGTGGTCACATCTTAAAACACGAACACCATAGGGAGGGAAATAGTTAGAGAAACTATTTGTAATACCGACAGATATTTAATTTAACAAAACATTACGCAGAACATATCCGCCCAGGCGACGCTGTGTTTCGTGGGCTCCAATCACAATCAGAAACTTGCGGGTTCAAATCACAGTCAGGGATCGACTCTGGAGTCAACTAATCACTTTGTAGGAAGTCAAACCAGAAATTTGACCACTTCCACGATAGTGTGGAATTTCTACTCGCTCAGGGTTGCCAAATGTGTGAGTGGAAAGACACCTTGATTAAAACCACGTACGAGAAAGGCCTATGCACGTAGGTCGATTGTTAGCATCAGCAGCACACATCAAAAAGCAGTCAGGTTAAAATTAGAAAGGGTTTCCGAGTGGCGGTAATCAACCAAGCGACAGGTGAAAAGTACGTTAACCTTCAGAGCTTATTCACAAACACACTGAGCCAACCGCAAGGTCATTTTAAAAAATAGACTGGTAAGCATGCAACCATGCTGGGAAGAGCTAGCAGAGTACCATTGAGCCTTTGACAAGGTCAAAAATATGTATATCAACAAGCAAGAAACCAGCCCAATAAAGGAGCTTTTGCTTTCCTAAACAAATGTTGTATAATGTAAAAAGAAAACACGCGGTGATTGAAAGGGTTATTTATTTATTGTTGGGGAGCATGTTTGCTAAAGTATGTCATCTAAAGAGTGGCACGTGCAGTTACCATTGAGGGCAGTATGAAAAATCTAAGCATGTAACAATTAATATATTAAAAGTGATTCTTACACCAAGGACTGAATAGTGCATATGGAAATAAGTGAATTTCACATTATGCACATTACATACAAAATGTATACTTGTGTACTTTTATGTTAAAGAATAGGACGGGACAAATTAAACATAACATATTGGATGGGCAATATAAATGTATGTATGTTGAACTTCTTTCGCACCGTACATAGGTGCGGGAAGGATACAATTGCAAACAAGCCAAAAACGTATCATTGATGTCTAAATTGAATCATGACTCTAAATTGTGGGGGGTCAGAGGCTGAATATTTAACGTGCCTGATAAACACTGCAATTAATGTTCTGATTCACAGTACCTACTGTCATTTTGATCATAATACTACCAATGAAATTATTTCAAGCATAAAGTACAAAGGTTCCTCATCCATATACTGATTAAATTCCAAAACACTTCACCTTGAATCTTTGGGTGATTGCAGGTGATGGAGACATTGCCAAGTTTTTTGTCAAAAATTCTACAAAAAGGACCTAAAGAATCTCTGGACTAAAATTACTGGAGATCATCTCCGATGGTGGTTCCTAAGGCAGTGGTAAAAATTCTGCGTTCTTATGGTAAGCGCAACTCATTGCACACTCTTGAATTCTCACTAGGTGTTACAAGTTTGATCAACCATGGATGGATGATGGTATGAGTCAAACACCAACTTTCCATTAAATTGCAATTGTATATAGTATAATCATGCAAAACATGTGAAGATGCTTTACAGACATTGTGAGCACTATCAGGATAGGTGAGGAGTTACAATCGTTTTCGGAAAATTGAGATATAAAACCATCATTGTAGGCAATCAATTATGTGCAGTGGAAAAAAAGGTAGGTCTTGATTGAGCAAGGTCTTAAAATGTGAGAATAGGTTTTTTTCCCCCTTTTTTTTCTGGCAACAGAAAAAACCTATTCTCATATTTTGGTACTGGCAAAGGGGGTCCCATGATGGCTTAAACAGTGTCGGCAATATAGATAACACGCCTGAGAGAGAATTCCAGACAACAAAGGTAGCAAACATATTAGTCAATCGAGGGCTCTGTCCACAGTCCTACCGATAAGATATTTCCGTAGATCTAAAACTAGTGGGCCTGTCAGCAAGCCTTCACTCGTCTGTTGGCCTTAGTGCCTACACTAAGCCTGGCAAAGCACCGTGGTGACCCTCGTCACCCCTCTGGGAAATGGTAGTCGCTGCGTGTGGGCTCTGGGAGGCTTAGTCAGAACCTGCTTACCGCTGCCGGGAGGCATGGGGGCGGTTGCCACAGCGTGCACCCTGGACACGATGCCCTCAGTGCTGTCGATGGATGACTTGTAATCCAGCATGCCGAACTCCACCTCCAAGGCCGGCTCCACATCCTCCTCTCTGGTCATGTTTGCTGCGGCTGTTTAACTGGTACACTTTAAAAAGGAAGGCCACAAAGATACGTACGTGACTCACGGGGCTAACAATGTTCCCGCCATCGTAATAAGTGAGCACTGCTGAGCTACTGGATCACAATTTGAGATTTCCACCGCAGGGTAAACCAAGTTTTCACGCTGGGAAAAGTAAAAATGCATTCATCACTGTGCAGCAGAACCAATTATAAATATCTGGTTTTGAACATAAATTTGTGAACGACAGCTCTGAGTGCTTAGGCATCTGAAACATTTACTTACACAGCTGAAAAGGGAAATGAGTGGTGGTTCGTGCACTGATAGATGAACCTGGCAAACGAAGTTTGATTACCGGCCAAAGTTAATGTCAGTGATGCATATCTGAACCAGTCCTGGCAATCCCCTTCATCAACTCGTACAGACCAGCATGGAAAACTATAGTCCAGCAATCCCCGCGACCAACACAGTGCAGGGGGGTCTTCATCCAAATGTGGACTGATCATTATTGATATGATTGTAACGTTAATTTTCTCAATAAAAACCTCGTCAGACTATGTTGGTCGTTAGACTTCTATGACCATACTTCCACCGTGCTGGTCAGTACGTATGTTGAAGGAGGGAGCACAGGCAATCCAACCGAGTTGGCCAGGTTCATTGCAGTGCGCTAACCACTGCACCACCGCTCCACCATTGTTTTTTTACAGTAGGCCTTCTGTAAGTTAAACAGCAAGGGTAAGCAAATACCAGTGTAGGAGCAACTAGAAGTTAGGTGACATCTCCCATGAAACGAAGACTAGTTGTTGGAGTGTCACATTGAGTGGAAATGCCTGAGATTTAAATTTCCAAAAGCAGCCAGCTTTAGAGATTAAGTAACAAATTTGCTGCAATCCTTGGCAGAGGACCGCTATTTACAACCATTGCTATTTTGGCTTCCGCGCTGATAGAATATTGGAGCAATTTTTTTGCGGCCAACTTTCCATGCAGCCAAACACAAATGCATGGGACGAAGTTTAAATTTCACAACGAGTATATTGCCTTCCTCAGTGATAGCTGCTTGCAAATATTATTCTGAATTCTACATCACAACTGCAAATATATTAGAAATTGTCTTTGCCTATTACAATTCAATACATAAGTTAGCGTTATATTGCTTAATAAGAGATTACAAAAAAACGTTGATTGCACAGCTTTAAAAAAAGTCCACCGACTCGTTCAAAGTGTCTTAATTGTGCATTCATTTTTAAGGTAAACGATTATTTGATTAATTATTTAGCATATTGCACAATAATTGTACTGGCTTATCATCACTAATTTTATACCAAAACTCTCATTATGCACCATTCTTAAAAGTGGACGCATCTCTCAAGGTCAGTTACATTCGTTTGTCAATCCACTGCGGTACGAATGCCTCTCCACACCGTGTCGGTCATGGGGTTTGTTGGACCATATTTCACCACGCCGGTTGATTCAAGGGTCGTGAAGGGGAGATTGAGGGGAGGGAATGAGAGACAAGACCGGTTCAGCCCGTTGCGGTGGTGCAGTGGTTGTTAGCACATTGCCTTCTGAACCTGATGGCCTGAGTTTGATTTTTAGCAACACCTAACATCATCAACAAGTGAAGTGCCGGGGTGATAAAGGACTAAAGCAACATACACATAAAAAAAACCTAATTGGGCATCCGGCCGAGCAGCAGAGTGCCTCACATCTGACAGGTTGGGAGTTGAAGTTCCCGTCAGGAGTTAGTTCTGGCAAAGTCGACCCCATGACGTGTATTTTATCAGTAACATATTCAAAGTGTAGCATAAACATAAAACGTCAGTGTCCTACACTCAAATACGCTGTGAGCAGTGTTCATCTCTGTCAGCGTTGGAGCCTTGAGTTGTGAATTGCGTTACAAACCCGGTGACCTAAGTTTGAGTGATGTCTGAACCGGTCCCCACCCCCCTTAACCAGCACACACTTACCAGCGTGGTGAAGTATGGTCAAACGATTCCGCACGTCCGATACAGCGAGGGGCCTTCGTCCAGCGGTGGATTTGACACACGACTGCTGCAAGTTTAACCCTTGCCGGTGGTGGAAAAGTTCCACATTACTATGGCAGGCTTAGCGCAAAAAGTGCATTAGATTACTCAACTACGGCATAAATGTAGTCAAATTCTAGAAGATATTGATTAAATCGTTGCACAGAATTCAAAGGACGCGCAATTACAAACCCCCGAGGATACAAACATAATAAAAGCGAACATCTGAACAATACAAATTGTCACACATTTGGAAAATTAAAGACAAGTCACAGTAGAGCGATTGTGACCATGGCGACCCAAACTACAAACCACATTTTTAAGTCTGCGCTCCTTCCACATAGGAGTGAGGAAATAGCAAAACTAGACCCAAACCTCTCGGCTTAGCAAGAACCTGGACACCGCTACCATCATACACACAGGCGGAGAGTACAAATAAAAATCCCTTTGTCCAACTCATCCTCGCACCACAACGACTCCCGCTCGCAACCCAACACACGCGACGCAGAACCCCGGACAGCGACCCACGGTCCGCGCGGCCTCCCCATTGGTCGGCGCATTGCGTCGCGTGCCCTCGAACTCGGGCCACGTGGGACGCTTCGTGGCCACGGGGTGACGCTCCTGACCATGTGGGTGGTCAGGGGTGACGCACGTGGCCACGGGTGACGCTCCTGGCCACGTGGGACGCTCGTGGCCATGGGTGATGCTCCTGGCCACGGGTGACGCTTCGTGGTCACGGGTGACGCTCCTGGCCACGGGTGACGCCGTGGCCACGGGTGACGCTCCTGGCTAGGGGTGACGCTCCTGGCCACGTGGGACGCACGTGGCCAGGGGTGACGCCGTGGCCACGGGTGATGCTCCTGGCCACGGGTGACGCTTCGTGGTCGCGGGTGATGCTCCGTGGCCACGGGTGACGCTCCTGGCCACGGGTGACGCTCCTGGCCACGGGTGACGCCGTGGCCACGGGTGACGCTCCTGGCTAGGGGTGACGCTCCTGGCCACGTGGGACGCACGTGGCCAGGGGTGACGCCGTGGCCACGGGTGATGCTCCTGGCCACGGGTGACGCTTCGTGGTCGCGGGTGACGCCGTGGCCACGGGTGACGCTTCGTGGCCACGGGTGACGCTCCTGGCCAGGGGTGACGCAAATGTCAGGGGTGACGCTCCTGGCCACGGGTGACGCCGTGGTCAGGAGTGACGCTCCTGGCCACGGGTGACGCTCCTGGCCACGGGTGACGCTCCTGGCCACGGGTGACGCTCCTGGCCACGGGTGACGCTCCGTGGTCAAGGGTGACGCTCCTGGCCAGGGGTGACGCTCCTGGCCACGGGTGACGCACGTGGCCAGGGGTGACGCTCGTGGCCACGGGTGACGCACGTGGCCACGGGTGACGCCGTGGCCACGGGTGTCGCTCGTGGCCACGGGTGACACTCCGTGGTCAGGGGTGACGCCGTGGCCACGGGTGACGCCGTGGCCACGGGTGATGCTCCTGGCCACGGGTGACGCACGTGGCCAGGGGTGACGCCGTGGCCACGGGTGACGCCGTGGCCACGGGTGACGCTCCTGGCCACGGGTGACGCCGTGGTCAGAGGTGACGCTCCTGGCCGCGGGTGACGTCGTGGTCACGGGTGACGCTCCGTGGTCAGGGGTGACGCCGTGGCCACGGGTGACGCCGTGGCCACGGGTGACGCTCGTGGCCACGGGTGACGCTCCGTGGTCAGGGGTGACGCCGTGGCCACGGGTGACGCCGTGGCCACGGGTGATGCTCCTGGCCACGGGTGACGCACGTGGCCAGGGGTGACGCCGTGGCCACGGGTGACGCCGTGGCCACGGGTGACGCTCCTGGCCACGGGTGACGCCGTGGTCAGAGGTGACGCTCCTGGCCGCGGGTGACGTCGTGGTCACGGGTGACGCTCCGTGGTCAGGGGTGACGCCGTGGCCACGGGTGACGCTTCGTGGCCACGGTGGCTGAGATGTTAACTCCCTCGCCTGGTATGCAAGAGGTTCGTGGTTTCGATCCCCCCACCCTGACGCCGGCTGTATGAGGAGTTTGCGTGTCTCTCTCCCCGTGGTCGCGTGGACTTTTCTCCGGGTCCTCTCCCCCCCACCTCCCTCCGCCACATTCACAATCAACATCACGGCGTTGAGCGTATTTGCCTTGCTATGCATTTACACGCGAGGAAGGGCCACTTCATTGAGCTGTCATTTGTGATGGACAGGTCGCCTCTGAACGAAAGCTGTGATATCACTCAGTGGATCTTACCTGGTCAAATACAAACGAGTGCGCGGCGTTCACGCAGCCAACGCCGCCGCCGCTTCTTCGTCGTCTCCTCCTTCTCCTCCTCTCTACTTCTCGTCAACACGGCTGACGAGACAGTTCAAGACCGCGCGGCGACACCGACACTTGCACACGGCCAAAGTGTGGTCAAGGCAAGTTATAACAAGCGCGGTGAGAGGGAGCCGCGAGAGTGGGGCCACCATGGCAACGGCGGCGAACGACGGGGACTCGGCGCGGGAACGGCGAGTTGACCTCGCGGCGACGTCACTCGGCTAAGCCCACGTGGCCCCGCCGCGTGTGAGGACGACTCCACCACCACCGCCTCCGCCTCCGCAGCAATCAACCACCGCGAGCCACAGGGCCGAGAGAGACGCGGCGCGAGCAACTTACGCGTCTTGCGGTGGCGCGTTCGTGCTCGCTCGCCTGCCGCGTTGTGTTGGTACGCGCAGCGCGTCTCAGCTCCCCCCCCCCTTCTTACCCTCACCCCGCCCGCTAACTCTCACCCCCCCCCCTCTCTCACCCCCCCCTCTCTTACCCCCCCTCTCTTACCCCCCCCCCTCTCTTACCCCCCCTCTCTCTTACCCCCCCTCTCTCTTACCCCCCCCCACTCTTATCCCCCCCTCCCTTACCCCCTTCCCTTATCCCCCCCCTCTCACCCCCCCCCCTCTCTTACACCCCCCCGCCTCTCTCACCCCCCCCTCTCTTACCCCCCCCTCTCTTATCCCCCCCCCTCTCTTATCCCCCCCCCTCTCTTATCCCCCCCCCCTCTCTTACCCCCCCCCCCTCTCTTACCCCCCCCCCCCCTCTCTTACCCCCCCTCTCTCACCCCCCCCCCTCTCTTACCCCCCCCCTCTCTTATCCCCCCCCCCTCTCTTATCCCCCCCTCCCTTACCCCCTTCCCTTACCCCCCCCCCCTTACTCTTACCCCCCCCCCCCTTACTCTCACCCCCCCCTTATTCTCACCCCCCTTACCCTCACCCCGACCCTTTTACCCCCTCTCTTACCCCTCCCCCTCTCTTACCCTCGGCCACCCCGCCCCCTTACCCTGACCCCCCCCCTTAACCCTCCCCCTCTGTTACCCTGACCCCCCCCCCTTACCCTCGCCCCCCCCCCCTTTACCTTCGGCCACCCCTAACCCTCGGTCACCCCGCCCCCTTAGGGGGCGTACATAAATGACGTCATCCCACCTAGGGGGGTGGTCAGACATTTGTGACGATGTGTGACGAGGGGGAAGGGGTTTGATAAATGTGACGTCGCATCAAAATGCGCAACTTTAAAAGAATATAGACAACACGTTCTACTTAATTAAATTAACGTTTTAATAAATGTTATATCCTACAACATCAGAGTGCAGCGCCACATTAAATACGCACTACAATGACAATAGTTTAAAGCGATTTGAAGCATGTTTTATTTTGGGAGGGGGCAGAGCTCTGTGACGTCATATTTCAGGGGGGTCTAACTTTTTGTGACGCAGTGTAACGAGGGGGGGGGGTCAAAAATCGTCAAAAATCGCGTGACGTCATTTATGGACGGCCCCTTACCCTCGCCCCCCACTTACCTTCGGCCACCCACCCCACACGGGGTCTACATTCGCGGCGCCATAGACATCGGCGATGCACCACACGCGACACGCCACTCTCACCCACGGCTGTGTGCGCGCGCGTGTGCGCCGGTGGGGTAGCCGAGGTAACACGCGCCATGTTACGTGGGAGGGGTAGCCGAGGTAACACACGCCATGTTACGTGGGGGGGGGGGGTAGCCGAGGTAACACGCGCCATGTTACGTGGGGGGTAGCCGAGGTAACACGCGCCATGTTACGTGGGAGGGGTAGCCGAGGTAACACGCGCCATGTTACGTGGGAGGGGTAGCCGAGGTAACACGCGCCATGTTACGTGGGAGGGGTAGCCGAGGTAACACGCGCCATGTTACGTGGGGGTAGCCGAGGTAACACGCGCCATGTTACGTGGGGGTAGCCGAGGTAACACACGCCATGTTACGTGGGAGGGGTAGCCGAGGTAACACGCGCCATGTTACGTGGGAGGGGTAGCCGAGGTAACACGCGCCATGTTACGTGGGGGTAGCCGAGGTAACACGCGCCATGTTACGTGGGGGTAGCCGAGGTAACACACGCCATGTTACGTGGGGGGGGGGGGGGGTAGCCGATGTAACACGCGCCATGTTACGTGGGGGGTAGCCGAGGTAACACGCGCCATGTTACGTGGGAGGGGGGGGGGTAGCCGAGGTAACACACGCCATGTTACGTGGGGGTAGCCGAGGTAACACGCGCCATGTTACGTGGGAGGGGTAGCCGAGGTAACACGCGCCATGTTACGCGGGGGTAGCCGAGGTAACACGCGCCATGTTACGTGGGAGGGGTAGCCGAGAAGGTAACACACGCCATGTTACGTGGGGGGGGGGTAGCCGATGTAACACGCGCCATGTTACGTGGGAGGGTTAGCCCGAGGTAACACACGCCATGTTACGTGGGAGGGGTGGGGGTCTAGCCGCATGTAACACGCGCCATGTTTACGGTGGGGGTAGCCGAGGTAACACGCGCCCTGTTACCGTGGGAGGGGGGTAGCCGAGGTAACACCCACGCCATGGTACGTGGGGGTAGCCGATGGGTAACACACGCCATGTTACGTGGGGGGGGGGGGTAGCCGAGGTAAAACCCGCCCTTGTTACGCTGGGGGTAGCCGAGGGTAACACACGCCATGTTACGTGGGGGGGGGGATAGAAGAGGTAACGCGCCATTGTTCCGTGGGGGTAGCCGACAGGGTAACACGCTGCATGTTACGTGCGGAGGGATAGCCGATGGTAACGCGCCATGTTACGTGGGGGTAGCCGAGGTAACACGCGCCATGTTACGTGGGAGGGGTAGCCGAGGTAACGCGCCATGTTACGTGGGGGTAGCCGAGGTAACACGCGCCATGTTACGTGGGAGGGGTAGCCGAGGTAACGCGCCATGTTACGTGGGGGTAGCCGAGGTAACACACGCCATGTTACGTGTGGGGGGGGGGGGTTAGCCGAGGTAACACACGCCATGTTACGTGGGGGTAGCCGAGGTAACACACGCCATGTTACGTGGGGGGGGGTAGCCGAGGTAACACGCGCCATGTTACGTGGGGGTAGCCGAGGTAACACACGCCATGTTACGTGTGGGGGGGGGGGTTAGCCGAGGTAACACACGCCATGTTACGTGGGGGTAGCCGAGGTAACACACGCCATGTTACGTGGGGGGGGGTAGCCGAGGTAACACGCGCCATGTTACGTGGGGCGGACGGGGGAAGTGTGAAGTCCGCCTCGTGGCATTGCTCGTTGGGCCGTGTCACGTTCCCTCGAAAGGCGACACAGGGGATTATTGTGTCCGTCCGTCCGTCGTGAATCCAAAAATGGGAGGGGTCGAGCTGGGTGGGGTGGGGCTGGGTGGGAAGGGGTGGAGTGGGGAGGGGCTGGGTGGGGAGGGTGGGGAGGGGCTGGGTGGGGAGGGAGGGGCTGGTCACCCCGTGGTGCCCTTATAAAACTCAACGTTTAACCTACTCACACCGGCTTGTGCCCGCCCTCACAGTCGGGCATATTTGCGGAATACACCACGCCTGCCGTTGATCCTGGCCATTGACCGAGCAGCCCAACGTTCCTACCAGCTCCCTCCAGCAGGAATGTGTTTAGGGGCTCTCGCTGTGCCACAGAGTGGTTGGTTAGTCGCACGGCTCGTGCCCTCCACGTGGGATCCTTCCAAATGAAAAGTGGGTTTTGTTGTTGTATGATCACGAAAGCCGGGTTTGATTACTCGGAGGATGCGGAGCGAGCTCGCGTCGTGAAGGCGCGGCGTTGTAAATTGGTATCTGGACCTCACCCCCCCTTCGGCAATTGTTGATCAGACGTTCTTGGAAGATGCGGGAGTTCACACGCACACATTTTACCCCGCCACACGCAGCGATCAACTGAGCTGTGGTATTGATACCCCCCCCCCCTCCACATTTACACTGCTGGGCGGACAGGAACTGCAAGTTGGCCAGAAAATGGCACGTTAGGTTTGTGACTTGGGGCTCCCGTGAGCTCAGGCCAAAACATTTCACTTGGTACCATCTGAAGCGGGTCCTAAAAATGTACCATGAACCACCGCAAATGTACCACCCAAGTACTTTAACTTATAGCAAACTACCGATATTTCACCGCAGTCAACCCCCTTCCTACCCCCTCGCGCGTTACGATTACTTTGAGAGATTCATTTTCGGTGAAGTAACTACGGTAATTGGCACGTTTTGTTTAAGTGAAAAACCTTCTTAATTGACTTTCTGGTGGTGATGGGTTAACGACACATTACAATGTAACGCGTTATAGCAAAACACTTCATTTTGGATAGTTTTTCGGTAGTTTTCAGGAAGTCAGAGGTAAACTTGCAGTATTTTGTGATACTTTGCAGTAATTAGGAGCCCTCTGACGTGGCATAACTTTAATGGTTCCACATTTTTATGGCCATAAAGTCAATTGTGCTCTAGCCATATGAAATTAGTGCGGTTATCAAATGAATTACTCTTACAAGCCATGTAAATAATTTGGAACTACAGTACTAAAAACAATGCTATAGTATATTTGGTAGAAATTTCTGCCTTCGCCCATGGACTTTGTCCAGTCTAGACCTTTTTCTCCAAGACCTTTTATGGGTACTTACATTTTTGACCACTTGAAGCAAACTGCATTTGCTAAACACCCCAATCTCGGACCCTCCTAAATGTCTTGAAATTCCTGCATGAATTCAAGGATTATTATCATTTGATGACTTTATTCCTGTATAAAAGGCACGTAATTCAGATGGTTTTTCCTCTGCTTAAAACACAATAGGAAACGTTTTCTCTCCAAAAAGTCCCAAATACAATAGGAAGCAAGTGAAAATTCAAAACAGGTTTACTTATTTCAGGTTACACAGTTACACTTGTTAAGTTTCAATTTTTATTTGAATAGAACAGATAGTATACCATGTATTTTTTTGTAAAGCAGTGGTCTCAATGTATTTAAGAGTTTGACCAAATAAAAATACCAAAACGTTACCCACATTGAACCACAGCAAACCTATAATATATTCCACATCAAGGATGTTTTTCCATAACAGACTGTTTTATATGCAAGAGACAATTTTCAGTCAGAACTTTAGTATATCTTGGTAATCAGCCTCATCCCAATACACTAATCAAGACTTTCCACCATCAACTGCCATAGCGGATGAAATGGCTTCTTAAGCATCGGTACAATGCTCATTTTCATTGACAGCCCTGAGCCAGTGTTGGAAATTGCACATTCCTATGCCAGGGAGCGATAAGATTACCACTGTTGACTTCGTACAAAATGATACTCATTTCAGGAGTCCCAAAAGGATGGTGGGCTGTCAACCGCCGACTGACATTTGAACCTGATAATGGTGAGTTGAGCATTCGTATCACATTCAGTTGGGATTAAATTTTGTATATCATTGAACAACTTGTAGAATGTACTCCAACCCAAAGATGGGAATGAATTATAAGCAGTTAAGATAACCATGACGATGCTTGGTGAGATAGGCTTTTCCCACCTTTGGATACAGAAACATGCCACACTAACACCCCCTGCAACAAAATCAAGTGTAGGTACGCAATCACAGCATGCAAGACAATCACTGAATTTATACTTAAAATAAACCATGGTCACATCGTGTTGTATAAGTGACATAAGACACTCCCAGAAGGAGCAGAGGGAAACGGGATGATTAAGTTTTCTTTCGGCAACGCAGCAACATGTGAACGTAAACCCTAATGACCCTTCATCACAATGCTAAACGTTGCGCGATTGTTTGTAATCTTAAAACAAAAACCGATGTTGAAGTGCATTAACAATGGTTTAAGAGTTTCAATTTTGCCGAGCGATTGATAGATTTTATTTTAAATTATTACTGGTATTATATTTAAAACATTCGTTAAGAAATTGCAGAACCTTCCTCTGAACGTTTTAAGGCTCAATTTTCTCATGAAACATAATTACTGTAAAAATTGTAATAACGTCATGAACGCAATATCCGATACTTCACACATTTTACCCAGGGTCTTAAATAATGTTAGATTTGAATGTAGTTTGAGCAATTTTTATAATCAGGTGAGAGGGTATTGGGAAGTATCTTATTGTATGTTCAAATACAGAAACTAAAACGGACAATACAGGACAAAATCATCTTCACACAATTTGTAAAAAAAATACACGTTTAGAAGTATCTTCATGAAGGAAACAGGCAAATATATATCTGTAATAATGACCGATGGGGTACCATATACGCATCGAGAGCTGAACTATGAGAAGTCACACACGCCCGCCGAGGGGGAATGTTATCATTCGCTGCGACCTATCCACTGTGGATGAGGGTCTCCCCAAGCCGTCACAATCCCTCACAATCCCTCATGGTCAGACGAATACAACAATCCTCACTCCATCCCCACTGCACGTCCACTATACAACCTTTTTTTATTTTAACAGATAAGGGCCAGTGAGCTATCATAGTTCTTTTTTCAGGAGCAAGCCTCGTCACAAATGATAGCTCAATGAAATAGGCTTAACGCGTACAAATTTATAACAGCCAAATACTCAAGCGCATGTTTCTAAATGGAGGGAAAAACCGGAGAAAATCCACGCGACCACGGGGAGAACATGCAAACTCCAAATATACAGGTTGGGATGGAAACCACGACCTCCTGCATACCAGGCGAGGTAGTTAACATCGCCACTTGGGCATGTTATCCGCTTTGTTGCCACCTCTCCATTAGTCTCAACCAATGGATATCATTCCTGTCAGTGACGTGTTATGGTACGTATTATGGTGATAAAACAATCCAGAAATAAAACTAGTTTGGACATATACTCATTGAATTGTTAAAAAAGTGTCCACCAACACATCAAAATGGTCCTAAAATAGTTATTCTCATGTCGGTGTGGTGTGCTTTTTTATTTACATGTAGCTCTTTCACAGCTGTAGAGCCTAACCAAACTCCACCATCAAAAGGCGCTTAGATGATGAGTCAAGGCATTGATAGTGGACGTGCCAGTGTTCAGTGGCTGTGGTCATGGGATGGAGTGGCATTGCCGCCAAAATGTAAGCAGTAGTTTAGCCCACGCATAGTGCATTATAATGCATCTAAACTTAGCTTCGCATTATGAAGCTCTTGCATTGATACAACTTAAAGGTTTATGCTTATTCATGTTAATACGACAAAAATCAGGTATAATTGTGCAACTTTCTTACAAGAAACCACCAATATACAATATATGATTCTGAGCAAAGCACGAGTAATGAAATCACTTCTCACCAGCAACACGCAAATTGATACAATCATTACAAATGGTCTACCATGCTTTCTAGCAAAATGTATAAAATCCTTGGGATTTTGCATTTAAGTATTTTATTTTACTCTTGGTTATTGGAATTTATGTGGCTGTGGCACCACAATCATCACAATCTTCTATTTTTTGAAAGAAGAGAAAAGGTGCCATCATTGATGTGGTAAATGGTGTAAAGACCAAAGTTGGGGAAAGTGTTTTTAATGTTTTGATTTTAGCCAATTATAAATAATCACAATTGTACCTTTGGCATGGAGGAATGGTGTGAAGGGATTTGTTTCCATCCAAAAACACTAAATGCACCCAGTCTCTGTAAAATAACCATTGCGTGATGACATTCGTTAAGGACCTATCTCTCACAAACACTAATATGTACCCTCTTAAGGTTATTTATTTACACATCTAATGAATACGTCCTTATATAAGAGGCCAAAGTGCAAAACAAAGTGCTTCAAGTTGTTATTTGTTATGCCATCAGTAACTAATTTTAAAGTGGCCAACTTTCTTCATTAGCAACCTTTTTTATTTACAGTGGGATTTTAACCCAGGACCTCGGTCACAACTATTTTCAGATTCTCAGATACTGGCACACAGTATTAAACCCTTGAGCCATCTGTCTTTTGGTGAAGTGCATTAGTAAACCATTCAGGCAAAATTAGTGAATAAAAAACTGAACACCACAGTCTCGATCATGAGCAGGACCTACAATCCAACACTTTTTGCAGCTCGAAATTCACTCCCAAATTAAAATCTCTAAGAGCAACAATCACAAAAGCATTGAAATAACAGGAGAGGGCAGCCAAAAAAACACTGGTGTCGTTTTTGTGGAAGCGGACGTAAGTCTCCATGTGCACGGCTGTCCACCGCGAGTTTGAAGCTCCGTTAATGAAATGGGTGAAATGGGTAAGTATAATACTGGTCAAGAAAAAAATTCTGGCCTGGACTTTTTCAGCTGTTTTAGACTAATTGCAGGGTGCCGATTCCAAATCTGACCTCAGATTTGCTCTATCACATCTCATTTTTATGTTATTGACATACCCCATTTTCATTGATTTTACCCGAAATTAACTCATCACTTATGATTGCAAGTTGCTGCGAGTCAATGACTGCTTTAGCGTTAAAATATGGTGCTGTATTTTTAGGATAGTGTGTTTATAATTTAATTTTATGTAGATATCCACATTTATTAAATATTTTTCTTCTGCAGTTTTTATTGAAAATTCTATATTTTATATCTCAAAAACCTGATGTGATAGACAAAAACTGATGCCAGATTTGGAATCAGCACCCCAAACTTACCTTAAAACTGTTGGAATACCTTATGCCAGAAAAAGTGTGTTGACCAGTGTAATACACTATACGCTGCCATAGCACCCTCTTGTGTTGTCACCGAGGCATGGCTTCCCCGTGGATTAAGACTAGCGCAGCATACTGTATAGTTCCTTACGTAATGCCGCGTGAGAATAGGGTTTCCACTTGTTTCTGGCAAGAAAACAGCTTTCTTTCGAGCCTTTTGACGTCCTCTGGTCTAACACCGTTTGAAGAAAAAAAGCTATCTTCGGTGTGGACCAATCAGTTTCAAAAACAATGCATATATTATCAGAGTAGGTTTTTTTTTGCATTCTGACAAGTATTGTGGTTAATGCAGACATGATTCCTTGTAAAATGTTTCAGTTTGGTGTTTTAACATCTCAACACCTGTTTTGTTGCCAGAAAAAGGGGAAAACCTATTCTCGAATTTTGGTACTGCCAAAGGAGGTCCCATGATGTAATGCCGCGTGTTCACAACACAACACTTTTCGCCATAAACGCGGTTCTTCCATTTGTAAACGCTTTTCGCACAATATGGAACGCGCCCGTCAACGCGGTTTCTGAGCGGGAACGCATCTACCACATTAGGCCTTGCTGTACTACAATTCTGTAGGTATAGACAGGAGAGCATCTGAATGGACATCAGGGGCAACCATGCTCTCTGGACTCATTAACATGCTTGAAATGCACATTATGTATGACTGCATTACACAGCTGCACACAGCCATTCCAGCAGCCTTACCACGAACCCAATGGGAATTCTGAGACTCACCCAGCCAGTCTTTCAGGAATCTAGGAACCCAATTAATAGGGTTGCTGCGATATGACATAATGATTAACGACAAAACACCAAATTTCACGAGATGGCAATTATTACATTATCAGTTTCCCATTACCTTCTACAGTATTTGTAGTTTACGTTATTGTATGTTTTGCTAAATTTCAGTCTGAGTAAAGATTACTTTAAAAGTTCTTCAAACTGCAGTTCACTTAACATAAGCCATTCACAAATAGTCTAATCCTGTAATTCAATTTTACAAATACTGTCAGTTATATAAGAAATCAGCATTACTACTAAAATAATGTCAATTGCCATGCCATCAGTAACATCGCAAAGCTTTATGCATGCACACATTTTATAAGATATTTATTTACAACTTGAATGATCAAGTTTGTTTCATATTTTAAATCAGGAAATGTAATATTTAATATTAGCAGTAAACACGACATAACGATATAGTACATAATTCGATACGTTATATGGTAATATCGCAGCAAGCCTATTAACGAAGTGAGAGCTCTGATTGCATATTTCCCATGAAGCAGCACTGCATTATGGGGCCATGCAGTGTTAAATTATTTGCATCCCAGTGCAGAGAGGAAATATCAATCTTTTAGCATTTACGTAAAAACCTATTTGCTCTACGTGTCACAGCTGCTACTTCTGTAAATATTATCATAGCGTTAACCAAATATCCAAAACATTTACTCAAAATGTTTCTTACATTTTTGCGTACATATAGATGGGTGGGAAAGTGTGACATCACACCACCGTTGCCGCAGTCCAATTCCAACCCTCACCCATCCCGCTGGCCACCAATGGACTGGTCAGTGGAGGACAACAGCACCAATTGGCAACAAGCCACAGCATCATCCAGGTGCAATCCTAATACAGGTGAATACCACCAACCACGTGCAACATTCGAGAGCTGCAGTGAAATGTACGGGGAAACGAACCTTCACATCAGTGCTAAAAACAACTGTGTACCCACGATGTCACCACCGTTATTGCCCATTCTGTAATTGTAAACCATTGCCAACCTCTCGTACCCGAGGAGGAGGGGTGTAAAATCAATTGCCGATTAAATATCTCTGCCCTTCCCCAGCCTCAAGTGCTTTTCCTCCGGTGGAAGCAGAAGCACTTGAGGCTGGCTTTAAAAGGCTCACACCTTCCTGTAGTCGGAAGCCAGAATATGAGAAGTGAAAATGTCATCCTCTATTCACGGAAGCTGATTACAACTGCGAGATTGGTTTCGATCAATATTGTCTTGACATGAATAGCATCCACCTGTGTTTTGAGTTGCACCTTCCTTTAAAAGAGACGTGTACATTTTACAGAATCGTTAATCACATCCTTGTTCATTAGGTCACACTATGCACACAAAAGCAATGCTAGACAGTTTTCCACATTTTGCAGTCACCGACCTTGGCTGGGATACATTTGGTCAGTAGCAGTGAAAATCCACGATTTCACTGCCATGCCCACATCATTGTACATTGCACAAGCGTTTACTACCTGTCACATCCAATACTTGAAACATTTCAATTTTTTTTCTTCTTTTACAATGTTAGTTTAGATTTTGCTGTAAAAAAATCAAATCAAAGTAGCACAAAGCAACTTCCCTCCCTCTGTGGATGTACAGATGTCCTATTCCCAGACTGTGTACTCCCACCAAGAGAATCATGCCAGTGTATCCTCCCTCAGAGGCTGAGGAACCTCCTGCAGAGGCAGAAACAAAACAAAAGCACAGTTGTTACACAGGTAGTGTGTACATGACAGGAGCCGAGCACGCTGTTAACATGCCATCAGGAAAGCAGCATTGAATTCCCACAGTGGCACTCATTTTATCAACACAAGAAGGCATATGTGGTAATATGATATGATGAGAATCTTTACATTTATATCTCCAATTGTGAGACGAGTGGGTTTGCAACATTTGCACGCAGCATTTTGAAATATAGTGTTGTTATTTCCATGGTTAATTCAACTTAATGTATGCTTATTGGAATAAAATGCTCATGACAAAAAGAAAGCAATCATACTTTTTGGTTTTTCGGTAAAGTCACGTAGGTAAAAAACAAAATAAATTAAAATGAAAAGAACATTCATATCCATATTCCCAGCCTTTCACTCCCAGATTTACACACTACCATCACTAAGAAATTTGACTCCAAGCCCTGCTTACTCCCATCGCTTGGAAATTTGCCGCGCGTCGTTTCGAGCGTGCAAGCTTAGCTCCCTAGCAGCTCTAATTTACTCCCCTGCAGCATAACAAATTGTGTCATCAATCGGCTTAATGTAGCTTTCTTATCAACCAGTCCAACTTCCGCCCCCTGCTTTCACATGCGCACCTCCCAGCCCACACCCCGCCCCCACACTCACCCTGCCCCCCCCCGCCCGCAGCTATATAATCCCTCGTCACAGCCATCTCTTAGGCATACTTAAATGGTTGTTCTTTCGCTGTGTCTGTCCCCACCTGAAGACGGACATGATTTAATTTAGTCGTTTTCATTATAATTTATTTTGTCTTTTACCTACGTGACTTTACCGAAAAAAACAAAAAGTATGGATCCTTGCAGTCACGAAAACTTCAAATCTAGAAGCAATCAGATTATGCAAAATTTCGATTTAAAGCTTTCATGACTGCAGGGATTCATCTTCTTGGTTCTTTCGGTAAAGTCACGTAGAATGGAAATAATAAAATAATAAAAACAAAACATTATAAAATAATTCTCACGAAAACAGATTATGCTACTCTGAAAATACAAATGTTATTTGTTTACTTCTAACTAAGAGTAATCAGTAGTCAAGAGACTACTTTGCAAATATAATCATTCTAGCACTATATGTATGTTGAACTTCCATATGTAGGCAACCGTCTTAATTGGAGGTGCTGCAATTGCCACTGAAAGGCAATTACAGTAACACACCTTGTCCATGTACATATGATCACTAATACACTCCTCATCTCTGTTGATAGCCCAGAGCCAGTTGCAAAAATTCGACATTGTAATGGAAAGGGCCAGTCTCTCCTTAGGAATACCACCGATGACTTCCCACAAAATTATATGTAGGGTATTTTATCAACCCCAGGGAAATGGAGGGCTGGGTCAACCCCCCGACAACCTGAATTTGACCTCGCAACCTTCCGATTTGAGTTGACCGCTCTACCACTTTGCGACACGGACACATTTACCGTCTGAAAGGAAGCCATTTCCCCCATTTCCCCCATTTCAGAGGTGACTATGACACAAGTGAAGGAGTGGTAATTCTCACCTGATAATGAGTGGCAGTCCTGGATCTGAATACACGTACTTGTGGCGGTAGCCTAGGTTGGCTGCAAATGGGACGAACTCCACATTCACTTTCGCTGATGCTGCTATGTCGTAGAGCTGCAAGCAGTTAAGTGGACCCACACACACATAGACAGATTTTCCATTTAGCATTTTGTAAATGCAGGGGGCATATGCTGTTAGCACACCTGCATAACAGAATCGCAACAGACATTTATTTATTGAGTGATAATGGTCACTATGTACCCATCGTAAGACTGTGGGAACCTAGTGAAGGCCCAAGACAACTGAAGACATTGCTATCAAATGTGTGCATATCTAGAACTCCATAGTTTTCGCAGTTTACGAACCATTGCTACTGTACCACGTATACGTAATCACGTTCCCGAGTAAAATATTGGCCAAATATCACAAGCACACGATCTGAAAAAGTATCTTCAGACGCAGCGGCTCCCAAGTGAAAAAAGTCAGTGGTGGGTGAGGGTTGGTTTCTCCACAGCATGAGCACTTGTGGACTCGCTGCATCGTGGTCCATCGTTCTACTGCCCCAGAAGGATGCCAAATTGAATCAACCTCAGCTGAGATTCGAACTCGTAAGTTGATATTGAGTGGAGCACTTCGCGAGAGCCACCTGACCATTGTGATGTTAAAACCCTTGTTTACATCTCTAAGAGTATACCACAGTATACCAATTCAGTAATAACTACACCCGTGTGACTACAATTACCCAAAACGTTTACGGAATCTTAATGGGATTTCACTTGGGTTAAATGATCATAGACTAAATTTAATCAACGTTAAATAAAATAACTTCATCACGCAAAACGATACATTCTGTAAAATATATATAGTTTTTTACAACACCAGCAACTTCCACAGATTTCTATTCTTCCGTTTACCTTTTTTCCAAGATGGAAGGGCACAATGTGGTCGTCTTCAGCATGCAGGATCAAGAGGGGACAAGTGATGTGCTGCACACTGATCCACACAAGTACAGGTACACACACGGACATAAATGTACACACACACACACATATGGCCTTCCCCATGTTTCTTTACAAACTGTCGGGCAACTGCTGGAATGGCAAATAAAAGGGATAGCGGTAAAAGTGTCATTAATGCCATACGAAAGAATGCCCAGCTGTCCTTACGCGCGGTGCCAAGTGCAACAGGTATTCATTTTAGGCTGAGCTGATCTAGAGGCGACTCAGGTCAGGTTGTGATAAACAATCGTCATTGGTGTTGTGCATGGCCAGCAAAGCAAAGGCAGGTCACTGGGATCGAAGTGCTGTGGACTAACTACGATGCCACCATTCTCATACATTAATAAACACACGCACAGTTAAGTTCAGAGGCACATGCAAAAGCAGTCACTCATTCAACCCAGAAGTCTCAAATGCAGATGCGCACATCTCATATTTGCCAATTATGTGTAATCACTTGTGAATTTAAGCTTTGATCATCTGCAAGTCCGCTAGCCATTTAAAATATGGCAATGTTTGATTGGGATAACTGCAATATAATGTAGACACAATTGTGTTCTAAGAAATCAAGGTGTGCGGCATAAACTTCAACCATAGTTTGTATTGAACTTTTGTTATATGACAGAACAAGACTATACGTGTTTCATATAAACAGTGGTTCAATAGCAAGTCAAGCGTAAACGCATCTTCTTGCTTAAACTAACATTTGAAAGGTATTAATTTATTCTGGTATCCTATTTGCATTATGGATGCTTACATTTGCATAGGATCACAACTGCAGACATTTCACAGCGCAGTACTGAGTTTATTGACACGGAGGGATAATGCGTTGAGTTAAATCCCCGGACCAGCTTTTGAACTCGCAACCTTGTTCGGTCGAGCCCAATGCTCAAACCGCATCAGCACTTGGCCAGACATTGATGTTGGCACATCATTTATCCATACCGTCATCAGAATGTCAAGACTCGTTTTTTTCAAGATGCTCTTATTCCTTAAAATCTGAATATGGCAAAAATAAAAACCCCCTTACTTCTCGTCACTTGCGAACCTGACGCCGCTGTCCGTGATCGAGTCCAAGAAGAACCAATCAAAGGCGGGAAATATTTTGTATATCTGCACACGCACGCGCACACAAACAATAAGATACAACAACACGACACTTGTTTTAGAACATGCCATCATGTAACACTAGGTTTGATACTATCCCAGATATCTGCCCTGACAATAATCCTACACCACCGACCCTGACACTAGCCCCTTCCTCAACAATGGTGCCTCATATTCAATACATCTTGCTTGTCATGTGCTGCTGCTTGACAATTACCCCCATTGGTGCCACGAGTTCAATACTTGATTCCCAATAGGAATTATTTGGAGACAAAAAAAAGTCACTCTCCCACCGCTATTCATGTTGAATTTGTGTTGTAATGCTCTACTAGATTGCAATGGTGTACCATTTCTAAATATCTGTATTGTGTTGTGTAAACTCTTTATAGGACGTACACATATTGCAATCTCCTTAAACATTATACTCCATACTTTCTCATCAAGACCAGGATTTTTCTATGTCCATCTGAACTATTTTCCAAAGTATTTTTCATTACCTTTGGATTTCTGTGCAACATTAAGCACACATAAGGATGAAATGTAGACGAGGGTACACGTGAAGGATGTGCCGTCTAGGGCCATGATGAAAAGCGTGTCGTCGATGCTTCCTACCTGGGCGAGAGGGTGACTATCGGCCTCCTCCCGGATATTGGTGAACGGAGCTTCCAAGATGACAGCACCCGGGGGTGCCCCTATGCACGACAGAGAGCAGCACCAAGTGAGACAGGGGCAGCTCACCACTCGCAACATTCACGAGCAAATCCAAGTTACAGTCCAATTCGATCGACACTCTGTTATCCATACGCTAAACCATTACATCTGAAATAAGGTTCCATTGTCCGAAATATCTTGCAGGTGAGAATGATTAACCAGAAGTGGTTATGGCAAGTGCTAAATTCATCTATTTCAAATTTCCCACGTGAACATGATGAAGATGCCAACAATCATGCCGTTCCTCTTGCTGCTGCCACTGCTAAATGGTGATGTCATTATTATCATCATGATGTTGCTGTCGATGCTGTAAAAACACTGGTGCTGGTAATATTGGCAATTACAAAATTATGGTGTTAATTCGTTAAAGACTAACAGTTAAGGAATTTTAAGTGAATTTTCAATACCTTGCTCGCATAGTTTCCGACCCACATTTGTAGCAACTCTGAAAAAAAATAAAAAAACACATTAACTCAAACATACATACATACAGAACACAAAGACATAAAATGAACAATCTCCCAAGTAATCGTATAAACTGCTAGATAAAAAACTCATTTCTCTAGAACTAGTTTTTGTGTTTAGTTTGTTGTCCTTCCTTCACACCCCTGATTGACATGGTTGGCTACATACGGTGCAAAATAAGTTCAACATACATAGGTACATACTGCTGGGGCAACTGCTGTTATAGCAGGCGGAGTAAAACCTGTCGAGCCAGACTCGAGGAAGCCAGAGTTCGTTGTTAACCATTCCACACACACACACATACACACGCGTGCAAGCACGGTCAATCACAGCGAGCTCACCCAGTGCCGAGCGAGTGTCCCCAGATGTACACGGGCCCTGCCGCCCGCTGCTGTGCCCACTTGTACACAAAGATGGCGTCTGCCGTGATGCCCTCCTCCGTGGGCGTGCCCGTGGAGTCACCCCAACCTGGCAGGTAGGGACGACGACATTACATCAGGTGGTGGTGCACCTGCCAGATCCCCTTGGTTCAAACGTGTTCCTTCAACTACGGTTAAGTCAAGTCGAGGTGTCTCCTTGCCCAATCAAGCAATTTGGTAGCATCAGCTCTGGCAGCCCCGAGTCAGATGGTGGAATTTACACACGCCCATAGTAGGGGTTGGTCTCTCTGTAGGATGACCAGTGCTAATTTGCTTTAAATCCTGCCTTAAAATATCATCGGATGATAAAATCTGTTTATTCCATACCAAATATTTTTTTTTAACCACCAATCAAATAATAAAGCATTTGCACACCGACAATTGGGAACGATACCAATATCAAGTTAATTTATCTGACTGGAGCCTGAAGCTTTTCAATGAATCCTTAGTCACGCAATTGAGCATCATGCAAAGCAGGTTAGTCTTGTACAGATATCACATTACTTACCCCGATAGTCCAGTGTCACCACGTGAAAGCCACTGGCACTCAGCACCTACACACCCAAGAAGGCACGCACATAAATGTAAAATCATCCATTTGAAGTGGCCAAGTCACAACTGCAGCAACAAAATGCACCAACAAACAATATGAAACAAATAATTTAGTAACACCGCGTTGACTAGAGGCGTGGACATGTGATCTCTGAGTACTGGCCTTAGTAACCTGGGGAGGGGGGGACATGGGGACCAGAGGTGTTGATTGGGGACCGCCATACCAACAATTTGAAAGCCACTGGCTTCGATTTTTCCAAGCCAACATTGAAGCCGAGCTCTTTATGCATGAGTCCATGGCCACTAAAAGGGTTCATTGTCCTCTAGATATCTATGTACAGTACTGTAAACACATACCTTATACAGCTCCACTCTGTGATGCCCTCCTCTGAAAATGTAACACAAGATACACCACATTAGGGCTGACATTTGAAACGCATACCTGGCTTTCAGAAGATACAAATCTCTATATATGTTTGCGAAATACACGTGAGTGTTTGCGAGGTGCACTTCTCCTCGTTATGGCCCAGCTGATGGTGGAAAAGTAGATATTTTCGGCACTTATTGTTTATAACTTTCACCACCACCATTGTCTCTCCACAGCAGAACATTCTTATAACACACTGCCAGATAGATTTCCCAAACCGAACCATTCTTTAACTTCATGCTAAATGCATATTAATAATACGTGAAACACGTAAAAAACACGCACACAAAACTCAGGGGATGGATCCTACTTAAATTCAATGTGTTAACTAGGTGAAGAGCATTGCACTCCTAATTTTCCAAGAGCAGCAACGCCACAATATCGCATTATCGTTCAAATACATGCACTATACTTCCATGAGTTAGTTAAAAGAAATACTAAAAGCACTCTCAAATAGACATTGAAGACTGCTATTGATTCAAATCTTGACACAAATGGATTTGGCAGAGCAGGGCAGAGCAGCGCAAATGTCTCCGATGTTGTCTGCCAACCGAGTTGCCCTTCTTAGCTCGATGGGCTTTACTTGGGTAAATAAAACTTCCAATTCCGATTCTGGCATTGCGTCTCACTCTCTCGCCTCACCTGGTCCCAGCGTTTCCATGGAAGTAGACAAACACCGGTGCTCCATTGCCTAGCGCCGCATCGTACCACTGCTGGTCCTTGCCCTCAGCCTCCTTCCACTGGCTGGCAGGGACGGTGTGCCTGATGGGTCAAACAGACAAAAGTTGTACTTTCCTTGTATTCAAGATAAAATAAGACTTACGTCCCCAGGATCTGTCCTGTAATGTGTTGCCAGAGAGCCATCGCTGGCCTAAGCGTACCAAGCTGTGCCACAGACGCCATGTTGATGCCATCCTTCATTATGCTCTGCTGCCCTTAAGAGTCTGGTATCCTCTTCCCCCAGCAATCTGTGGTGTCAGCTGCGTCCCCTTGATCAAATCCAGGTTCAAGGTCTTCCTCTGTGCCATGGCCTATTTCTGTCTATAAAATAACAATACCCACTGCTTCTGTAGAGTGTCTGGAGGTGAGGTTACATTTTGACACTCAATAAAATTCAGATTGTAATTGTTATGAGGGCTGTTTTCATGGAAAAGTGAAAATGTGTGCATGTGCACATATGAGCATTATGTGTACAAGTACGGATGCATCATCGCATATGCAGGTGTTTATTCAATTGCCTGTTGTTGTGGGCCTTGAGGCCAACACTCACCAAACTCCCAGGCGCACACCTGGCTCCAGGGTCAAGTACTGGTTGGTTGTGTGGTTGAGACCCAGGCTCAGTGGGTCATGCAGCTCAATGAAGAATGGTACACGTACTGTCCCGCACACACAATGACAAAAGACAAAGGTATGGGCAAGTGCTGTTGGGGAGAATCGATGAGCAGTGATGCAGTACGCGAGTTGGGTTGTGGAGCACACAACTATGCCCATTGTGGAGATCTGCCTTTGAAAGAACAGGGAAAGTTTTAACATCAAATACAACTAGTGGGAAACCAAGTCAACTCCATAGCACCATGTGCCATTAATCCATGTATGTATGTATGATGAACGTCTATCGCACCATATGTAGCCAACAGTCCTAATCGGAGGTGTGGGGGAAGGACAATAAACTAAACACAAAAAGCAATTTTTAAGAAATTAGTTTTCAATGTCGATATAGAAGTGCATAGCTCCGGTGGCTTCCTAATAGTTGTGAGTGGTGATGTCAAGGTACTGACTGAAGTTGAGGAAGACGATCTTGGCTTGGATGGTGGGGCACACCTTGACCAGAATGGGCACAGCCACATAGACGACGAGCACAACTGCCAGCACCCACTTCACCCAGCGCCACCTGCATGGGGAAAATGAAACACAAGGGTACCAACTTTTTAATTCCTTTACTGTAACCGACTGTAATGTTAATAATGATAATAACTTACAGAGCTTTGTCAGTTCCCTGCTGGATGAAGGCCTACAGTATTAATAATATAACCCAAAAACTCTCCAATCGAATCGCTCATCCCAGTTTGGTGACGGTGAGTCCATAGAGCAAAGTCCACGTTTCTACGGTTGCGAGCCAATCATTTTGTAAGACAAATTCTAATTCATTCTCATTTTATCAAAACCAGAGGGATGGTGATGGGCTGATTTGACTTAAAACTGGACTTTAAAGAATTACCACACTAATTGCGAGTCCTGCAAATCATAATTTGGGAGAGAGTACCTGTATTTTGGGAGCATCATCAGCCGAGGAAATCCCTCCACACTTTAAAAACTACCGGCTTAAGAGGCAAAGGAGCTTCTGTAACCAAATGTTACACAAAACACTACAGACAGCGGACTCGCACCAATGCATGCATTATCTTGCGTGAAAATTGTTTGGACAACTGCAGCCGTAACACAGTGGGTGCAGCGTATAATTTCTGTTGCTAGGATAGAAGGCACTTTCCATCTAAGCTGCGGTCAGATAGATAATCTTCCTGATGACCATCACACAACGAGGCTAATCTGTGAGGGCATGGGATACAGTCATGGTTCATTGAATTTGCGGATAAGCAATGCCCTGTTTATATGTAGCATGATGTTCCAATGTTATGAACAAAGTGTCTTTATTCTCAAATGGGCAATTGAGGTGCACTCGTTCCCCTTGATTGGTACCCCAAAGCAATCGGTATGTGTATAATTCAGTACTTCTGAAGCGAGGCCTTCCCTTGCACTGGACAGCCACTTCTCACAAATGGTTCTTACTTCTATTGACCCCAGAGGGATTCCCAAACCAGCATACGAACTAACATTGTCCAGCAACCTTAAGAAATTACTTTAATCAGTATTAATGTGAATGTATATTTATTAGCAGAGTCACAATGTGACCACATACCCAAGAATTCAAGTAAAGTCAACATATAAACAAATCTAATGATCTCATTGTACTTCACATTGTGTCTATACTGGTATAAAATACCATACATGCCCTCTGCGTGGAGAAAAACAAGTTAAATGACCACTGAATGATGCCTATGTCTGTTGGCCATCCTAAGCCACTGGTATACATTTTATATTTACAAGGCAGGAGAGACCAGTCTCGGTATGCTTTTCAGTGGTGATTTTAAAGAATTAGTATATCGCAATTACTACTGATCAGGTGAACTCAACATAATAAACATGGATAATAAGAAACATACGTAAATATATGTAACCAAAAGCCAGCTTATTTCACAATGATCTTCAGTTCCTCTTTACAAAACATTTCTCATAAACGTTGTAGAAAACAGAACAGCCTATTTAAAAAACTTAAATGTAACAAAACAATAAAAAACCAGGAGTCGTCAACTGGCAGTCGTGCACAAGGACAAAGAAAAAAAGCTTCCTTTATCAGTAACACTAGCTGATAACAACAACAATATTAACAGGATGACATTTAGTGACTTGAGAAAACGTACAAATGTAAGTTCATAGAGGGACAATTGAATTGAAATATGAACAGCTCACCAGGAGCGGACTGTTAATTGCAAAAAAACTCTCAAAAGTCAACAATGTTTGCATACAATCATTAATAAAAAAAAATGAAATTAAGAAATGCAAAGGGAAAAAAACTGTACTGAGAAAGCCAAAGCAGCGTTTGTTCTGTTATGAAAACTCGTTTCCTTTTGAAAACTCATTTCTTTAGAACTGCTTTTTATATTTAGTTTGTTGGCCTTCCCCCGCACATTTGATTAGCATGGTTGGTTACGCACAGTGCGAAAAAAGTTCAACATGTATTACATGAGCCACTTTCCTGGCTGATTTGTGTCGATTGCAGATCATTATATGTGACTGCTGAAGTCAACCGGTTCTTCTGCAATTTTACGAAAAAAAACAATGGGGTGAGTAAAAAAGAAAGAGGAATTGGGTCTGTCGAATATACAATAGTTAATACGTTTAATAAGTCAAGATGAGACCTTCGTTAACTCAATCTAATCAACCCTTTGTGGTTGATCAAATTCGTGGGAACCCAACACTTTTCATTCTGGAGAGAAACTGACCCAGCCTTTTGAAAGTACAAGGATACACTTTGACTTCAAATGTATGATAAGCAGTGATCGAAACGGGCCAGTATACGACGGTGCGCCATACCATCATTTCTCACAACATCAAACGTACATTCCGGTACTTTTAAGCAAGGTTTCTATGATCTTCTGCAGAGGCGAAACGGCAGTGAACATAGGTTGGAAGGCGAATAGGTGTCATAAAGGCACTTAAAAAAAATCCCATTTTTACGACTGATGAGAAGTCAATAATTACGGTACAATACGAAACGAACATGATTCATACGCTGAAAATACCATTGTATGCGTGTGAATGGGACTGGCTTTTCTACGTGACAACCACTGCTGACCGTCCCACACATTATGAAATGCGGACTTGATCCCGAACTACGACTTGAATTTACAGATTTAGCATTATTAGTAGGGCACTCTCACCACAGTGCAACCTGTCCAGATGTGTGTTTTAAATAAAGCTATACTAGCTTAATACGGTGGCTTTCGCGACCAATATTATTCATAATAAAACGTTTTTGGGTTGGTCGTAACCCTCCACTACCTGACACAGCCACAACATTTACAAGGTGTAGATTTACTCTCCAACACACCGGTGGGCTGAAGTAGTAACTAAAATGCGCGTTGTTTACGTGACAAACCTTACTGGCTGTGTCGGGTGGCGGAGGGTTACGACACAATTACACTTACGCGATTTAACCCAAAAACTTTTATTATGAAAGCTCTACGTGCATACAGTGAATCAACACTGAATGATGTTGGTTTCAGTTTGCTGGAACTACAAGAACCTTAGCACTCATTCGTGCCGGCATTGTTAAGACTTTAATGCCCTATTCACAGTGCCCAACGCGGGCTTGCAGGGGGCATTAGCCAACGGAATGACGCCGAAACATTCACTCCCAGAAAGGCCGTGTGACCGATGGGATTCTTGTTGTTGTATGCGGAGGGACAGGGGACAGGGACAAGCACAAGGAGGCATACTGTTCGCTTATTTACCGGGTAAGAAAAGGTGACAAAAAGATCTTACCGTGTACACTACCTCACCCCGAGAAACCAGACGCACGCTGGGGTGGTAGATTGGTTATGGGAGGTAACGAGTTGAGCAATATATTGATCAATGATAATGACGAAAACATGTCAACCCCACAACCGCTCCCAGCAATTCCAGGAATAGTCAATCAATGACTCAAGGGCCAGTTTTAACTCAAGAATCCAATTAAATTTCGTTCGCACCGTCTCATTTGTACACCATTGTCCGTTTCTTTGTGTACTGTGCGCATGTCATATTGTACGAATTGTCCTTGTTTATATTGTATTGTCTTACTCTCTGGTATTGTTTGTACCGTACAGTTCGTCTAATTTGTATTGTGTTCAGTGTTCCTTTTCATTTGCCTTTCTCGTTTGTATTGTCCGTCGCTGTTGTATCGTCTCATTTGTAATGTCCTGCTGATTTAAAACGTCTGTCACATATACAACGTCTGTCTCGTTTGTATTGTCTCGATTCTAATACGGTACCTGTGTCCGTTGTTCTGTTTCGACTTTATTAGCCTAAATAAGCATGTAAATTACATACAATTTGCATAAATCATACGCAATTTAATGCCAGAATTGTGAGAAAAGTATCAATATTAACCGATTAATCTATGCATCGTTATTTGCCACGTGCATATTTTCCACGCACAATAGTTGATGATTGATCGGTATGATCAATATATACAGTGAGTAGAGCATTAATGTTTAATGACACTGTAGGAGGGTGAATGGGTAATCATGTATAACACAATTCCATTATGTTCCTCGTGATATGAGTAATGTCAATTATAGGCAATAATTTTGACGAGTGCCGTCATGATTATTATATTGGATTTTGTTCGTGACGATGTCGGCGATTCGTGCTCACATCGCAACTCTTTTGCTCTGCGGCTTTGACGATTCTGATGATTACCATGATCATAAAGCACGGTAATGAGTATGATATTTACGTCAACAACAATTATGTTATTGAGGATGAGGTTATACAGTATTATGTTGATTACGTTAACTATCATAGTATTTATGTGATCATCTGTTTGATGTTATTGCTGTTGTTATTAATTTTGACGACGGTGATAACGATAAATGCTGATGATCAATTCGGTCATGATGGCGCTTTTGATAATAACGGTGGTGATGATGTTGACGTTATTGATGATGCGCAGGATGGTGACATTGGTGATGATATTGATGATGACATTGATGATGACATTGATGATATTGATGATGACATTGATGATGATATTGATGGGGACATTGGTGATGATATTGAGGACATTGGTGATGATATTGATGATGACATTGGTGATGGCAGTGATGATGATGACGCTGCGGGCAATGACGACGACGACGATGATGATGTGGGTGATGACGCTGGTGACAATGTCGATGATGACGGTGACGATGTTGAAGGGATGTTGATGCCGACGATGTCGGCCCTCACCTCCCGCCCTTCTCGCCCGGGCCCTGCACTCCCCGCGCCTCGTCCGCGTCTGCCGCTCCACCGCCTCTCCCAACGCCCCTCCGCCGCAGACCCCGCGTGTCCATGATGCCCGGAGTCTCGATAAATTAATTAACAGAATACAACGACGATACGTGTAAAGTAAAAAATAAAATAACAGGAAAATCGCGAGATTTATTAAAATAAATAAGATTATTTCCTGCTGACCGCGACCGCTTCTCCGTCAGACGGCCGCTCCGATCAGCTGTAAACACGGAAGTCGGAGCCGCCTCTTTAACGTCTCCCCAGCGACGGATGCGCGAGCGGCTTACCGTTGATTGGCTGACTGGGGAAAAGGGGGAGGAGCGGGCACGTGCTACCGGGGCCGTGATTGGTCAGGGGGAACGCGCGGGGCGGGGGGGCGCGGGGCTCAACGCGCGTGCGCGCGTACGTCATGTACACGCGGCGTTTAGACCAATGGGACATCGGCGGCGTTCACACGCACGTGCTTTTGTCAGCGCACGCGAACAACATGGCGGATTAGCGTTCTGAGAAGGGGCACGCAGCCCGAAACGTCGTACATGCGGCGTTTCGACCAATGGGGCGTCGGCGGCGTTCACACGCACGTGCTTTTGTCACCGCAAGCGAGCAACATGGCGGATTAGCGTACGAAGAAGAGCCACGCAGCCCAAAACGTCGTCGATCAACATTGTTACGAACATATGTTTAACACGTAGCCTTTCGCAACCGATATTATCTATAATAGAGGTTGTTGGGTTAGATCGCGTAACTATAAATGTGACGACCATTAATTATTGTCTGTCAGTCGGTGGCGGATTTAACGACACATTTATATTTACGCGACTTAACCCGTAAACCTCTTATTGTGGATTAATAAAAATAATTTAAACACCTTGGCTTTCGCAGCCAATACTGTCCATAACGTTTTTTTTTGTTAGATCGCGTTAATATAAACGTGTCGTTAAACCCACCACCACCCCGACACAGGGGCCGTCCATAAATGACGTCACGTACCTGGGGGGGGTGGGTCAGACATTTGTGACGATGTGTGACAAAGGGGGTGGGGCCCGCAAATATGGCCGACTGTGGCGGGCACAAGCCGGCGTGAGTAGGTTAGACATTGATAAGGGTTCCACGGGGTGACCAGCCCCTCCCCACCCAGCCCCACCCTCCCCCTCGCCACCCTCCCCTCCCCACCCAGCCCCTCCCCACCCTCTTCACCCAGCCCCACCCCTCCCATTTTTGGATGCAGGACGGACGGACACAATAATCCCCTGTGGGCTGGTGGAACCAGGTGGTTCCTACCAGTATAATGTACTGCAGTTTCGGCATTTTAATGTCATGACAGTACTGGCCCATAGGCTGTTATGATGGTGCCTTGCCAGTGGCCCGTTGACTTTAGTTTATTGTGTCCTTGGGCCATGATGTGGCCTGGAAATTGCCAAAAGGTAATTGTCAGGGGCCGTCCATAAATTACGTCACGCGATTTTGGACAGCGTCACAAAAAGTCAGACCCCCCCTCAAATATGACGTCACTAAGCTCTGCCCCCCCCCCCCCTAGGTGCGTGACGTAATTTATGGACGGCCCCTAGGACATTAAGATCTGTTGACTCATTGACCATCACGTTTCCACACATTGACAAAACAGTACTTTGTGTCCCGAGTAAAGCTCGTTTATCTCATTATAATGTAGATAATCCATCATTATTCTAGCGATTGCCGGTGTGAGTACTCAACTAATCGTATGACACGAAAATAGTTGTGGGAAAAAAAGGTCGGACCTCTGGATTTGGAAGTGATTGTCAGAGCTTGGTGACATCATAGCGGTGGGCACAATCTCGCTGGGCGTGGCTTGTAGGGGTTTCCCTCCTTCGAGGGGCGTGACGTTTGAGCGGCCAATATTTTTAAAGGGGCCCCAGGTAATGGGCCACAAATAAGTGCTGCGCTGTCGTTAATTATATTCTAAGTCAGTTAATCGACTTAATGGGCTCATCGTCCCAGCTCTATTCGAGTTCATTAGAGCAAGTGCTGTCCCACAGTCCTCCCTGCACCGGGTTCATTAGGGAGTAACCAAACCCCAGGCAGGCTCACAGCGCAGCGCCGCACCAATTAATATTATCCTGCGTGAACTGTGTTGAGTACAGGAGTAATGCGTCACGTGTAAAATTTGCATATTTGCCATGAATGTTACATAATTTTAATTATAACGAATGCGGTTCAACTTCAATCGTGATGTGCAGTGATTAAAGTTGCAGTGTAGCCGTGAGCCACGATGCATCAAAGCGTTCGCAGCATTTTTTTATTTATAATAAAAAGGGCCGCGCATGGGCACGTTAATTATCCTCCGCCAACGCCCCCTCCCGCACACGCGCAACGATTCATCATCATCACGATCCATGGGGCAGATAGCACAGTAGATGCCCACTGCACATTCCGTCATGTTTCCTCTGTCTTGTGTGTCAATATGCTCAAGTAGTGCGCACATCTTTCTGCCACCAATCTCTCGTGTCGTCGTCAAGCTGCTCTCTCTCTCTCTCTGTTCGGTCTTCCTCTCTTTCCGCTTCCTTCTATTTTTCCAAACGGCAACACTTTTCATTATCCTGTTGTTGTCCATCCTCCGGGTGTCCAAACAGTGCCAGTCTGCCCACGTGCCACCACCGAGTGCTCGGCGTCTCGTGGCAGCGGCTGCTGCAGCGCCAGGAGCGATTCGCACGACAAAATCGATCCGCTGCTCTTGCGCGCGATGACGTCAACGACTTTCAGACTCGCCTCGCGCCTCGTCGGCAAGGTTTAGTAAAAGGTCAAAAGTAACGAGCCTAACTTTACCCTACCTTTTACCTTACCACAATGCAATCACTCTACCCTTTTTACCCTTGAGCGAGGCAAGGTTAAAGGTCAAAAGCAACGAGCCGACCTTTACCCTACCTTTTACCCTTACCCCATACAAATTACCTGATTACAGGGTAATTACTGGGGTACTACTACACATGAAAAAGGGTTATAACAGGTAAATGCTAGGTAGAGCGCTTTATTCATATAGAATACTCTCGGTGATTCCAATTTTAAATGGAGGCCACGGACTGCGCCACAGAGCTTTTAGCGAGCGGTAAACAAGGTGTTTACCGGTAATACTTCGCGCTACCTTTACCCGACCCTTTATCTTACCCCTTGGCATGTCGGACAACCTTTACCCTTTTACCTGGTAAGAAGGGTAATTTACCTTACCTTGCCGAGGCCTACTAGTCGCGCCGCTTTTTCACTCGTGGCCACAAGCTTCAGCGGCGCAATGCCTCGGGGGAGACCGAGGCGACGGGCGTGATGATAAGCTTGTGACGGCACGGGGTCACGTCTCCCGAGAGAACTGTGGCGAGATGTGAAGCCACGATTGCGAGATGTTAACTACGTCGCCTGGTATACAGGTCGTGGATTCGATCCCGACCCTGACGCCTGTATATTTGGAGTTTGCAAGTTCTTGTGTGCATGTGGATTTTTCTCCGAGTTTTACCTCCAGATTTAGAAACATGCGTTTAAGAGTATTTGGCTGCTATAAATGTCCACATAAGCTACTTCGTTGAGTTATCATTTGTGGCCAAGTAGCTTCTGAAAAAGAGCTATAAAGCTCACTGGGCCTTACCCGGTAAAATAAAAAATATTTTAGTTTAAACTGAAGAAGTGGCTTCTTTGTGCGAAGCTCGCTACAATTTTAAGAGTGTCACTAAAAAAATTGGTGGAATACGGAACCTTGAGTGTGGCTGTCTTTTTTCCCAAATGTGTATGCACGATTGAGAGAGTTGAGAAGGCCGGAGGGTGGGGATGGCTGTCTACCAAACTGCGCAATTTTAAACATACTGCAAACATCACAAACACCAACACAATATTTTGCACTTTGTCAGGATAACCTTTATTTTTTGTTTATATAGTTTCTTTAGTCATTTATTTGCTGAACACTTTACAGCCAGGGCCTTTGCTAGTCATCTGCAACAGAATGTACACACAGCACTTGGGGAAGTGTCTTGCTCGATGAAATAAAATATGCAACAGATATGCGACAGAAAAAAAAAACTACAGTTATTTCAACTGTAACACAGCATAACCACACTAATTAGCAGAAAGATCCAAGCTAGAGATGGAAAGAGACCGATGGTGACAGAAATGTACAGATATTAAGCAAACAATGTATACTGCACAGCCTGAAATGTAAGGACACCAGGTGTGAGTGGGTAAATAATGCCTGCATATCAAAACGTGTTTTGTAACAGCTTCAAAGAGAATTCCCTGACTGGGTTTTCTGAACTCAGCACATACTGCCTTTACGTGGTGATTATGCCACATTTGAAATGTCAATTTGAGTCTTTATGTACTACGCATTTCAATACATTTTGAAAACAATGAATGGCAATGCATTAATTCAGCTATCTGAAGAATATTAAAGCTGCCTAATATCCAGCGGGGTTACAACTATCATTACAGCAGCGCTCAACTCAATCATAACTTTTCCAGTTGGGGGTCGAATTAGCCAATCATCAACCTTTTATATTAAAACGAATACCACTTTATGGGAAGTCAACAGTGGTAATTCAATGGAGAAAAGGGTTCCCGACACAGGAATGTGGAATTGCCACCACTGGCTCAGGGTCACCAAGATGGTGTGGAAAGTTGTTTCCCTTGACATGTACATTGTTTGCAAGCACCAATCGCCAGAATAAAACGGCACAATCATTTTCTCACCATTACCAGGTCACTTTTTCTCAGCCGAGCATCTTTTCTGTCTATCCAGCTGCATTTTCAACATACAGTGCTCACTGTTGGGCAATAAAATAATGTCAATACACAACATTTAAATAACAGCGCTAAACTTTCATGTTCGTCAACACAAAATTTGTATTGTGTTTAAATTAGTTAGAAATGAAATGTAAAAGGGGCATTAGCTCTAAAGTTCACCTGCACCTCTGCTGCTCTGGGTCTTCCTATTTCATGAACCAACTCATTCAAGTTGGCAAAATTCTAACTTTGAACTTAGCGATGGAAAATTTGCCAGGGGCGCGACTTATACGAGGCAATTTCCAGTGGTGGAACTGCTCCCTTTATTTTTGCCATTGCCGCCACCCGGCTGGCTGGCATGCAATAGGGGCGAGGTGGCATTAGCTTCGGGTGGCGGTAGGCGGAGCTCGGCACTCTGCCTCCCGCGTTACTTCTTGGCCTTGATGGGCACGGCCTTGATGGGCACCGCGTCGATATCGCGGACTTC